CCGCATCAGTAAGGCAAAGAAGGGAAAGCGCGTTCATGCGTGTGAATTTCCCGGATGCAGCAAGGTATGCGCCTTCTCTATTCCTTATGCGCCGGCGCAATCTGTTAATCCCAATCGCAACTAGGTCTTTACCCGCGCCGAGCACCGCAGACGCCATGAACTGAACCACAACCCCGAAGCCTCCTACCCTTGTACATATAGTAGCTGCAAGAAGGCCTTCCACAGGCCCGATTTGCTGGCGCGCCACATGGAGCGACAGTGAGTAGCTCTTAATCCCCATGGAATATCGCAGAATGCTAACCGAGTGACAGCGAACTCGACTCGCAAACAGACCAGGCTCAATGGACACCACAAACCCAAGCAGCCTCCCTGGGGGAACCTGTCCCGCGATGCATGTCTATGGATTCTGGATCTTTGATTGCGGGCACTCAGCAATCTCACTCTATGTCTATCGGCTCGATTGTGGCACCAGGAGTTCACCCTGACCTTGCCAGCGACTGCGGAATGGTCTGGAGCAATATGGAGTTGCCTCTGCAGCAACGCCCTTCCACCAACCTGTTTCAAAACCATATCCCAGAAACTTCCGATGACAGCCCCTTCTACTCATCTCCGGCAGAAACCTGCCCCTCGCCTCTATCAGACGCGACATTCTCTCTCCCCACAACCTCCAGCTCCTCCATTTCCTCCATTTCCATGATCGACCAGTACCCCAAGGGCCTTCTCAAGGAGTTGACTGCGTCTCCGCTTCAGATGGCCTCTCCACTGCGGTGGGAGGGCCCGGAGACCGGAATGCCTCCGTCGCATTTGGTTCCCATCTCTCTCGAGGAGAACCTCATTCAACCGGTATGTGGGAACCCTACTGTCGACGATTCCGAAGTGACTATTCATTTACTAACTTGTTTCCAGCCTGTTCAGTGCAACTACCCCTCTCCTTCCTGGTCTAGCGCGGACTGCCTTCCCTACGAAGACCCCCAGTCGCTGGGCCATTACCAGCCAATGGGCTGGAAACAGTGGGCGATGTGAAGCCCAGCTTCTTTCTGGTCTTTGATTGAGCGCGACCCGTGTCTCATGCACTGCGCGACTCCATCTCACGACTTATGACGACTCTGACCACTCCCCTCCCGGCCGCCTCGAGCAGCCAAGCGCGACCCACGCACCCCACCGGGCGTAGGCGTGACGGGCAAATCTACACCTCCCCCTCCCGCGGTCCCCTCCTCGTGGACACACAATAACAACTGGCCAAACTATGGCTCGGTTGAAGGCGAACAAAGAGACTCGCCAAAACGCCCAGAACGCCCAACCCGCGCTCCCCCGCTGCATCCGGCTTCGGATCCCCAGGTCAGCGGCTTTGACCGACAGGCGTCAAACCTCATTCGCAGGCCGGGGATGACCGGTGCGCGACCGAGGAGCCTCCGGTGGAGACGCTTCGGTTCAGGCAGGAGTTCTCCACTGTGAGGCCCAGAGTCAAACAAAGAAAAAAAAAAAGAAAAAAAAACACAAATTTCCTTCCCCCTCCCCCTTTGTTCCTCTCTTTCCCTTTGTATCTCCTATTTGTGATGCATTGAAGTAGCAGGTGTCCTAGACTAAGGATTTGTTGGGAATAGATCCTTCGGCGGGTGTTTTTTTTTTTGGCGTTGATTCGATGATTTGATGAAATCCACGCATCCTATGTTTTTCTGGTTGCTCTATACCCTGGATTAATTTACGAATACCCTATGTACCATGTTATTGTGATCTTTATAATTTATACATTTTCAATATCCGAGTGGTTGTCTTTCCCTCTATGTCGTACCCCATAAATATACCCCAAGCATAAGCCCTATCAAATCGACAACCATGGATCATTCCTATCATCTGTGGTGCCCAGGTGGACAACTTTAGACGTGAGCCGTGGTTCAGTGGTTCAGTGATCTTCGACTGATTCCAAATTCCAAATTCTTTATTTTCCTACTTGAGCTCTATTGTAGGCTTGGCAGGTTAGACCTTCCCATCTCCCCCGTGTCAAAACTAAAACTAAAACCAAAACTAAATCTCCAGGGCAATCAAACTTTGCAACCGCACCGATCGTCGTTGTCTGGACCACAAGGGCAAATGAGCCAGAGAATCCAACTCGGCTACCGCGTACGGAGCCCTAGTACTCCGTACGGAGTACTCCAATTTCCATTCAACTCGCCATCCAATTCAAGGCAAAGCTCCTCCTAACTTCCGACGATCCGGAGTTCGTGTTCGCGTTGCAGTCCTAAAGCTCTCTGCACATCTCGTTCATCTCTGGCCACGATCGGTCGATCTCCGCCCTTCTGAACGGGTCTCGCCCCGACTCCTCCGACCGCCAAATAGATTAATTGAAATTACACCTCCGTGGCCCTGGTACCCTATCTTCTTAGACCACCTTAGTCCTTGCACGACTTCCCTTCTCATACGCGAACTCAAACCCCGACGTATCCGCTCTATCTCCTGTCTCTGCCTGTCTCTGCCTGTCGTAAGCTCCACCCCATCACCCCTTTCAAGCTTATAGGCGAGCTGGGTTGCGTTACGACATACGCGATGCGACACGGAGAACCCGGCCAATGCACCTGGGTCCCATAAATTCGATTCTTCCCAGTCCACAAATCCGCACTGTCCAGGCGCCCGTCGATCTGGACTCGGCAGGTGTCGGCCGCGGAAATGATGGACCACGATTATTGGGGGAATCCTCCTCCAAGCTCAACTCAGCTCAGTTCAGCTCCAGTCTCGTAACCCCGCTAGTCTTCTTTCCTCCAACTGACGTGGAAACGGTTGACTCGTGCGGTTGCACTGTAGCGTCGCGTAAGCCTATGCACATACATAGTGCAGCCCCGTTATTGTTGCTTAGCTGAGTCTAACTACTACAAGTATTAGTAGCTTCTTTTTCGCGTCTCCTTTTCCACCCAGCCTTGTCCTCTTGCATCGGAGTCTTCCCTCCTTCGGGGATTTTTAAGCGTGGAACAATACTCCGCATTTCCCGAAGGAGTTTGTCATAGGCTACTCCTTAATGTTGCTGAGCTGGGCTTGCATGCAGCAGGCTGCAAGTCAGGCAGATAGGCGGGCAGGGAGGGTAGCGGACAGGGGTAGGAAGCAGATCTCGCCAAAGGATCGGTTAGTCGCGTCTCTGATACGATGGCACTTGCTGGGATGTACGAGTATGTACATCCGTAGGTGAGTGGAGGCGGGTTCGGGGCGTGTCGATCAGGGGGGTGGAGGTGTCTCCGACGAAGAGGGGGGTTATCTCCGTTGTCACGAGGCTCTTGGGTGTGGTCCGTGTGGATGAGATGAAAGGAGTGAATGGAAAGTCTGGATAATCCCGAAGTTGTTGCGACGCCTGCCGAGCAGGATTCTCGCCTTCCTTCCAAGGTTGTTTTTCCTCGGCTGGTTGGTGGAGAGTACGAAGTGCCAGTGGAGACTCCGAAGAAGTTGCCCGCTTGGGTGATGATCAGTCGCTATGGAGTACTCTGTGGACGTACGAATAGACACAGACGGACCACACTTTCGCTCTTCCAGGTGGGGCTTTGCTTTTAGTAGCCGCCACTTTGATGAGGATAGTCAGTGTCAAGCTCAAGGAGTAGATTCCCGTCTGGGCTCAGCGCTGGCGATCGCCTGTTCGCCAATTGTTTGCTGTTACATACTCCTTACCGACGGAGTAGAGGTCAACCGTACGCACCGCACCTATTAAGCACTCAGCTCACACTCAGTAAAATAAGTTTTTATGGGTCTACTTATCTTCGATTTTTTTTGGCTGTTCTATACTCCCTCATAACCCTAACTCCGCCTAAATGAATGCCACTTTGCCCCGCTTGACGTCCCAAGGATAAACTGAAGCTACAATTATCATCCTATGCTACTCGTATACTAGTAATACTCCCTTTATCGATTTTCGCGTTTTTTACCCCCTTTTTTTTCGTATTTCGTTTCTCTGCTGGCACTGCGTTGGGTATTTGCTCGTCTTCGTCATGGGTTGAAACCTTTTTTTTTCATTGTACAAACGGTCTAAAAATTCCGAGATGCTTATTAGTATTCATCTGTGATCTTCTTTCTCATTAGGAAAAGCGTCCTCCTTAAAATCCTGTCAATGGTAGTATGTATTCTCTCTGAGTCTCCTCATACTAAATTCTAGAGATCCAGCAACTGCAGGAATTGCACCTTGATTTATATGATCATGCAGAACAACAGTTGATACAAAAGGAAGACTTAGTAGCTGGAATACGATTTTGAGTTAATCCTCGAGAAGTGAAGTCAAGCCATTGGGTGATAGCGGCTATCATATTGCATGGGTTTGGTGTTTGTCTAGGCAAGGTATCCATCTAAGAGAGATACACAAGGAATGCTATGTAGCAAAGAAGAGTCAACGCCTAGAAGGTCATTGAGCCAGACTAGCAAACATTATATCATGCATTTACTAGGGAGTTTCTTCACCAATGCAGTCATCTTGCACAAAGTAACCCAAGCAAGCAGAAATAGAAAGTTAGTAAGAGCATCATTTATCAATCAAACTATCATGAAAAGTGTGCTTTATAGATCCAAGGAGCATCATGAATTAGAGTCGTGATAGAGAGCTAAATGGGGCTTCTGAAAACGAGCCACTACCCAGACTTCACTCTCTTTGTTCCAAAACATAATAAAAAATCACTATAATTCAGTGGACCGAGATGATATTAACAACCGGTAGTAGATCAATATGAATATTATGGATCGATCTAGGCCGCAGTCATAAAAAGCACTTGGGATATTTTAAGCGTGAGAGAGCTTGGCCCTATTTTTGATATTGTTGAAACAATCTTCCCATTTGGTCTTGGCCAGGACTTGACGTTGCCTTTGGTGGATGGAAAGTCGATGAAATCCATGCCGTATGGGCTGAGGACAGGAGGGAATTTCCTATGTTTAAGGTAAATGATAACTTGGTCCGGTGTCAAAAAGACCCAAGATAAATCTGTGAATGCTTTTCATTTCTACATAATTTTCATCTTATATCATATGTTCGTACCGCATTAATCATCCACTGGCGTAAACTTCAACATTAGTTTTCTTCCGCGCGGCAGCGCAATAAATTCGTAGTGCTGCTCAATGCCTTCATCGTCTATAGTAGATGTCGTGAAGTTTGAATACACCGCCGCCATGACCAATTTAATTTCTGCATTCATTAGCCTCATCCTCGAAGATTCATACTCAAGGGACGCACCTTGCAATGCAAAATTACTTCCTAGACACATGCGCCCGCCACTCCCGAATGCAAAAAAAAGTCGCCTCATGTCGTGAATATTATCGCCTGCCTGGAGCCATCGCTCTGGCAGCCATTCCAGAGGGTGCGGGTAGACCTCGTCAATTCGGTGGAGGGAGTAAGCGGTCGAGCTGACTCTTACGCCACCCGGGATGTTATCGTACCCATGTAGAGAAGTGCCTTTTTCTGTCGTGGGGGTGACACGAGGGAGTTGGGCCGGGGCCGGGGAATGAAGACGAAGGGTCTCGCGAACCATAGCGTCAAGGAGGGGAAGGGCATCTATGGCGGAAGGAGAAGGGAGGGCCTTATCTCCGCCTGTGCTCGAGCCTGGGTACCGTAGGGACGGAGACAAGGTCATTAGCTCCTTTTGCAGCTTAGCTTGAAGCTCCGGCTGCTTCGATAGCTCCCACATCATGTATGTGAATGTGATGCCAGTCGTTTCATGGCCTGCGACTAGATGGTCGAGCAATTCGGACGCAACTGCTAGATTCAATGGACGCGGGTCGTGTTCTTTCTGTGAAAGGAGGCTCTGCTGCAACTGCTCATAGATGACTGGATTCGTGAATGGCAGCAGCTTCTCCTCATTGCTGAGAATCTCTTCGTTCTTGGATGCCTCTGTTCGCTCACAGAGCTCCATGCACCAGCCCTCAATGAACCCCATATACCGGTCGTCCCGACTCAAAAACTTAAACTTCTCATACTCCTCTGAGCCAAACCATCCACTCCGGGATATTGAACAGATACCTCGTTCCTCGTCTCAACCCAAACAAGAAAGAGGAGGTAAAGTCCATCCCAACAGCTTGGAACATCGGTAGGACATTCAACACTTCTCCATCATTCCCCGCTTTCTTGAGAATAGGCATCAATCGATCCCACAGAACAACCTTTGAGATCGTCTGCAGATCACCAGATTCCTGGAGAAACGACTTGGAGAAGGTCTTGCTCAACATCCGCTTCTGGTGTGCGTGTGGCGCATTGTGCACCATGCCGACCATGTTTTCAACGTTAAAATTGACAAAGGCATCGTTGTAGAAGGCGTGCTTCTCGAAAGCACCGGTATATATGACCTTTAGACCGTGGATGGAATTGACACTCAATTCCTCTGGACCGAGACGGACGATGGGGCCGTACTTTTGATGCAGGGCATCAATTGCGAGGACTTCTGTCCCTGTGCTGCGCCTGTGGTCAATCCAGCGCCTGGATAGGGGAGATGTGAGGTGGGCGTTAGGGATGGAAGAGAGCGGTGAGAGGAAGTAGGGGTATATAACATGATGGTAGATGAGGTAGGAGGCGAGGATGAGGAGGGCGAGGAAGGTGAAGGGGATCATGGTATTACGTGAGGAGGGGTGAAGAGGAGGAAAACAAAGATGCCAATCAGGCGGCAGTCATTTCAATTGACAGTCAATCCCAATTCATGTCATGATTTTCTCATGCAAGGAGTCGTCTGTCTAGTCCCCGCCAAAGCAGAGCAAAGTTCCTGGCGTGGCAATAAAATAACTTTGGTGGGGCCGCAACCAACACGAAGCCCTAACTGTCTAGCAGCTCACACTAAATAGCAGGAAGCTGCAACTATGCTCTAGTCCTGCTACAGAGTTTCACTGCCTCAGCTGTCTGAAACGCAGATTCTGTGCCGCGCGAATTGCTCCACTGTCGGCCAGACGCGCTGAGTGGATGCTATGAGGGGCGGAGGATTCTGCAAAAGTTAATACCACCATTCTTTTATAGTTACCCGAAGCGGCCTGCCGTCAACCCTTGCCTTTTCCCCGATAGTCCTTCATCATCTTCGCCGTCTATATTCCAGTATGCCCTGGAACAAAGACCCTTCAACAGTCACCATGACTTTCGCCGAGGAAGCCCCCTCCAGAGGCTTTGTCGCCCCTAAATGGCGCGGCACCCAGGCCGACCAAGCCGATATGAGTGCTCTAGGGAGAGATCAGGTTTTGCGGGTATGCTCAAGATTCCACGATCGCGGCAAATGTACATGAACTAACCCTGCAGCGTAACTTCCGATTTATCTCCATTGTAGGATTTGGCTGCACGTTGATCGCCACGTGGGAGGTTGTTTTGACGTATGCCATCCGTGTCTACATTTTGATTCAATGACTGATCGTCTATGTAGTCTACTGCAACAAGGCTTGACGGACGGAGGAACTGCCGGGTTGATCTGGGGATTCCTCATTGTCGCCGCTGGGTTTCTTCTTGTGTTCTTGAGTTTGGCTGAGATGGCATCCATGTGAGTCTACCGACACTTGAGGTTCTGCATCCAATCTAATTCCATAGGGCCCCTACTTCTGGTGGACAATACCATTGGGTATCGGAGTTTGCCCCTCCTAGCTGTCAGAAATTCCTCAGCTACATAACTGGTATATTCTTCTGTTTTCTACATTATTCACCGAATCCAAGTTAACAATATAGGTTGGCTGTGCGCCATGGGTTGGCAATGCGCCATCGTGTCGATCGCCTATCTGGCTGGAACGATCATTCAAGGCTTGATAGTACTAAACAACCCAGATTACGGTATGGAGGCATGGCACGGTACCTTGTTGGTGATCGCCATCACGCTGTTCTCGATCATATTCAACACCTTTTTGGCCAAGCGGCTGCCCTTCGTGGAAGTGTTGATTCTGATTCTCCATGTATGCGGTTTGTTTGCTATCATAATTCCGCTATGGGTACTTGGTCCTCGCCGCAGCGCGAAGCAGGTGTTCACTGAGTTCAATAACGGTGGATCCTGGAACAGCGCGGGGACTGCCACGCTTGTTGGATTCTCGACCACCATCACAGCGCTGATCGGATATGATTGCGCAGTGCATATGTGTGCGTATCTTCCCAATAATCTCCAGACTATTTGCTGACAGTAGGTGATTAGCCGAAGAAATCAAAGATGCATCTGAGACCTTGCCAAAGGCGATGATCACATCGGTATGCACCAATGCTGCCTGTGGTTTCCTGGTACTGGTGACGGTTTGCTTTACCCTGGGGGACATTGACGACATTCTGGCCACTCCAACAGGGTACCCATTTATGCAGGTGTTCTATAACGCAACAGAGAGTCTTCCGGGCACGAACGCCATGACCGCCGTTTTGGTGCTGACCTTGACGGCGAGCACGATCACAGAAATAGCAACAGCATCGCGCCAGTTATGGTCTTTCGCGCGTGACCGCGGCCTTCCTTTCTCGGACTTCTTTGGATATGTATGTCATTCCATTTTTTCCCTTTTCAGGCATGAGTCCACTGACAGAACAAGGTTAACCCGGGCTGGAACATCCCCCTGAACGCCGTGATGGTCTCATTGGTAGTGACGATACTCTTATCGCTCATTAACATCGGCTCTTCAGCCGCGCTTCTCGCCATAGTCACCCTTACTATCGGCGCAATGATGTCCTCGTACATCATCACTATTGGTTGCGTGCTTCTAAAGCGCATCAGAGGGGAGCCCCTCCCACCACATAGATGGACACTCGGCCGGTTCGGCATGGCCATCAACATTGGAGCGCTATGCTTTCTCTGCCCAGTGTTCGTATTCGCCTTCTTCCCGCTTACCTCGACCGTTGATCCTGAAAGCATGAACTGGTGTGTAGTCATGTATGGAGGAATCTTGATCATTGCGGTGGTGTATTATGTGCTGCGGGGACGGCACCATTACATCCCGCCCGTCGCGCTGGTGAAGCGAGAAATTTAGTTACTACCCACTCGTATGATGTTGGCATTGGAAGGGGCGAAAATAATTTTGTTTCATTATATTTAGAACGGATCATCTCGGATGATAACAATGCAGAGGACTTTCCTATATAATCATACTCGTACATAGGGGTCCGAGTCGAAGGCACAGTGGAGCGCGTGGCAAGAAGAGCCCACTTTGTGGATTTACTAAGTGGAGAAATCCACTTGAGCTTTGAATACTATGTAGATGGGATATTAATGAGCAGTACTAAAAGGAAGGAATGACTTGGCAGAGTATGTTTACTCATACGATATGCATAATGAGTCTGAAACAAGGTAGTATGCATTACCTATACATGGCTTCGCACCAAGTCTTCCCGACTTAGCACTGGCACCCCTGAGTTATATTCGAGTTGAATAAGAGGAAGGGTCAATTGAATTCAAAGGGAGAATCGAATTTTCATGAGAATATTACATATACTTGATGAAATTATTGCCCGTAGTTCTTCCTGTTTCCGAGTAGTACTCCGTCCGAGCCTTCTACTCCTTCATTATGGTGGCGTACGGAAGGTGGACCCTACTATGCGGCCCCATTTCCCGCCCGCTTGGCAGTTGGCGTAAGGGAAAGGCTGGCGCCCCTTATGCAGTCTACAGCCCGGCTCCATATTTCACCAACTCTATCTCGTAGCTAGCGCAGTCCCAAATTGCAAACTCCACCCTGTCGTGCCCTGAAATACGTGTATGTAGTTCATTCCTTTCGCCTGACTTTCCCTCTCATTGGATATTTGCGATCCAGTATGGAGTCTTGTCATTTTCTATTTGTCCGCTGTCAGTTTCTCATCGCGCACTGGTTCCCACGCTAAGCAGGGATATGGGCTTGGAGCAGGTACAGTGCATCGTTGGCTTTCAAGGTTTCGAGCTTCGGTTGAAATGCCGTTTGTGCACACGCGGCCGGCGGCTAGTAACTAGTAGTACCGTGACCAGAAGGATCGCTCCAGCTGATATCACAGCCCACAAAAAATTACTAATATACTAGTATCACGTTGCGTTGGATGTTAGACCTCTTCGTTTGAATTGTCCGAGCTACCTAGCCGCTATTCATGGAGTCGTCGCCATGATGGTTGATTATTATTATCATTTTCTATTTCTTTTCTGATCATTTTCCCCTTGATACTTCCACGTCAGACCACACCTTGGTATCCGCGCCGCAATGGCCATCAAAGTGCCCCCGGGCCAGTCGCCGCCTTTCGAGACGATAGACGACAAGCATCATGCCGGGATTATTATCATAATAGCCGCCATCTGCTTGGTGATCTCGCTGGTCAGTCTGTTGATCCGAGTGTATGTGCGGAAGTTTCTTAGTCCGTCATGGGGATCAGACGATATAATCTTGCTGGGCGCCACGGTACGCAATTGAAATCCATCGACAAATCAAGTCGTTATAAACGAGATTAACATCATACTATCATACTAGATTACTGCGGTCGCCGAGTCAATCATTATATTTCACTCCTCGAGTATCGGATTCGGGACCGATATATCACTGGTGGCTGAAAATGCCGTCAATCGCATACAAAATGTACCTATTCGTTACCTGATGCCGAAACGAATTGGATATAAGAAAGAGACTGACAGACACAGTCCCTCGTTACTGCCGACATACTCTATCTATTAACTCTTTACCTCTCGAAATGCTGCGTTATCGCTATCTACCTGCGGTTAACCCCGCGGGAGCGCCACAAGAGCTTTCTGTGGGCGACATTAGGGTTGAGCACAGTGGGTGTTATTGTTTCAGTGCTGGTTATCTCGGTCGACTGCGAGGGAAATAAGCCGTGGGCTATACCTGGCGTACAGTGTCAGAACCTAGTATGTCTACAATTTCGCTCTTGAGCAACAATCACGAACCAAACACACGGACATCGAATGCGATATACTAACAGTTAACAGTTCGCCCGCTGGCAAGCGATTGCCGCGCTTGACATCTCAACCGAAATTCTACTTTTTACTTTCAGCATCGCTCTGGTTTGGGGTCTACAGATGCATAATTCACATAAAATCGTGATCATAGTATGCTTTGCAGCTAGACTACCGTGCGTCCTCCTTCCGAGATCGATTCCTAAGCACCACTACGTACCTCAACTAACACAAAATTAACTGATAGGCTAATAATATTTTCGTCACTTCGTCTCTCCGCCCTCAGAGAATACGCAGCTACTGAAAATCCTACCCTCGCCGCAATTGGCCACACAGTCTTCACCCAACTCCAGCTCAACTATTCGCTTATAGCATGCACGGTATTTTGCCTACGCCCCTTCATGAGCGCCCTCACAACCCACTACGGCACAGCCGGCGATTCCAACCTCGGCAGCAGTAGCGGTGGTTACGGTTACGGGTATGGATCCGGGAGACAGGGAAATACCGACCCCTACGCCTCGGGGCGGTCGCGGGATTATGAGATGGGAAGAGTGATGGGGCGGGCCGTTCGCCGAGCAAGTGGGGTGTTTAGGGATAGACCAGATGTGACCGATGGGAGGGGCAATAAGACAGTTGTCAGTGAGGCTGCGAGGCCGGGGCACTCGAGGGAGGGAGGCAGCATACACAGTGGAAGTGATGGAAGCACAAGGATGATTATCCGGAAGGATGTAGAATATTCTGTTTCAGTGGAAAACTGAAGTACTCATAAGCCTTTCCCTCTGCACAGCATCCATCCGAGTCGATTTAGACACACTCAGTATTCAAGTCAAGAGTTAGAAACCTTGGAATATAGTAGAAGTGGGGCCTGCTGACAGGAATTACCCTTTTGAGACTGAACTAAGCATGCACTGCCCTCGGCCCCCAAACTGAAAACCCCCTCTCATATATTTTGAACGATCTACGCTTTGACGGACAAGCTTTCGTTTTGTGTCAGTCACCTCCTCTGTCCATCGCAGTCTCGGAGTATAATCGAGTCTCGTTCAGGATGAGCGCATTAGCTGCTGAAAGGAGGCCACCAAGGAGTGCAGTCGATGAACATGAAATGAAACTCCGCAGGAAACTTCAGAACAAGCTTAACCAGAGAGCTCACAGTAAGCGCCTGGGAATTGAGTCATTATACTGCGCAATGCTTTGATGGCTAACTAGCATCTAACAGGGGAACGACTTGCCGTGCAGCAAAAAGGGAAAGCCAACCGGACCCCTTATCAGATTGGCCGTTGGCGCCTCGTACAGGATAATCCTCAACCAAAGCCACATCTTCCAGATCACAGAAGAAACTTGAAATTCGCCAATCATCGCCTGTCGACTGACACTAAAAAACACCAAGAACCCTCAGACTGGACTGCCACAACGTCTACGCTAGGCTGTCACCCTCAGATGGCCCCTCCTCGAGCAGATTTTCTGCTCAGTCTCGTCCAGTTTAATGTATACCGAGGCCTTTACGATAATAAGCTTACTTTATCCCGATCAATTGATTCTATATTGCCGGGGCATGACCCGGTCGCCTTTGACACGGCTTTCCCGGGGGTCTTCCAAATCATCACGAAGGCAGAGACACCGAGCTCGCTTGCGTTGACTGAACTACAGACACGCATAATACATGCCCCTTGGATCGACCTTATTCCATTCCGACATATGCGAGATATCTTAATTCAGCAACAATGTCATTACGATCATATCGCGCTTCTACTTGACATCCTTGGCAACGTACCCCATCTCGAATCTCTTTCTTCAAATGATGTATTCCCGGCGTTTCAGAACAATGCAAAAGGCTATATTTCCGACCTGAAAAACCTGGATCAGGACGAAGATGGGATGACTTCATCTCGAGCAGGATTTATTATTTGGGGAGATCCGTCCGACGAGGATAATTGGGAGATAATGCCGGGTTTCTTGAGAAAGTGGTCCTGGATAATGAAGGGGTCTGAATATTTGATACGATCGAGTAATAAATGGAGAGCTATAAGGGGCGAAGAACCAATGGAGCAGCTGCTATAGTAGAAAATCAAACATTATGCGGAATAATATCACTAATTGCGACCACATAACTACTTTTCACATGCGGAATACGTGACAGCTGACCAGGCCCCAGTAAGGGTGGCTGATATTGAATGCAACCATGTTTGATAGTTGTTCAGCCATTTGCAAGACATAATTGCTGAACTGAATGATTCCTGGAAGCTTCTCGAAATCGTGACCTCTACCATTATCGGTAGGACAAGCAAGGCGGGCCACATTGTCTCATGTACAGTAGAGCTCGGGCCTCGAAGTAGATCGGGGCTACCCACCCCGCACAACGCAACGGAGATCACTCGAGTTAGCTGGTCCACTCTGAATCATCGCTTGGTTGAAAATGAAATGACACATATCATACGTGTTGAAGGTACAGTAGATTATCTCAGAATTTGACCACGACTATTCGAGGCATTGCTGACCACGAAGCCTTAATGCAACAGGTCACACTCAGCTGACATCGGGATCTGTAGTTCCTTCAGCCATGCTGGTTGCCTTGTCTGTATCGATTAGTACGGAGTATGATTTCCGAATAGTTTGGATAGCACTGTGAATCATTGTCTCAAAAATATAAGCCTTGGTTGATTCCTCGACCTAGCTAGGAAAGCAGGTCGATTCCATGCCGCATCTCGATACTACTTACTGTGGCATGATGTCATATTGCATAGCTTGGACGAATAACAAGCTCAGATGTAAATAGATCGCTGACCGACTCAAATCGCGGGCAGAACATGAAGCTTCGGTATCGTGTTAAAGCACTACTACTAGAACAAACACAATATGGCATAGAATATTGGGAATTGCAGGAAGTCGATATTTTTGAAGCTTGCGCGTTTGTTGGGCTAAAAAATCAAAATGCCAGCAGAAAGCCTTCATACGAAGACAGATTTCTACAAGCTATAGATCGACACATGGCACATACACAGCCTTATTAAACGACACGCGTAGGAGCGGGCGAGGTAGGTGAGACATGCTTTTCGCCCCCCATTGTGTACACTCTTTCGTCAGATCACGGGAAGAACTAGCTTTGTTGAACCTGACCAGAGCTTCCAAGAATAGAGCGGATTATCACTCATACCTTTTAGCCAAAGCGATGTTTAGGCCAAGCCGCAGGAATGTGGTATTTAAGAAAAGGGCAGATCCGCAAACTTCTATCAGATCATCAACACAGTTCATCAAACATCACCGATCAACCTTCTTCAAGTCCTAGCTTCAATTTCTACCACATCAGAGTCAAAATGCATTTCACCACTATTCTTGCTTCCGCCATTGCCCTTGCCATGGGCGCATCTGCGATGCCAGCACCCCCGGCCGACACTCGGTATGCCCAGCTTCGTCTGTTCGGGGAGCCTGGCTGTTCGGCACAGAACGAAGGCGAACTCGGTGTCTATGGCGACTATGTCAACAAGTGCAATACATTCCCCGGCGACACCCCTTATAGATCCGTCAGCTTCGAATACGCGATCAACAACTGCAGCCGTAAGTAGCCGATTAGCGGGATGTGTGATGTACAACTTGAATTGTTCAAGAACTGACCGATATCATCAGTGCGTGTTTATAGCGACGTCACTTGCCATTTGGACGCACATGACGTTCCTGTCCAGACTTGCCTCTCTGGCGACAAGGTTTACCGCAGCTACGAGGTTCATTGCGACCACCTCTAGAGCATCCATCTTCCCTTGGAAGTGTTTTGATTTGATTCGGACATAGCGTGGTCATACAAGCGTGGACATAATATTTGCATTCTAATTATTTCTGTGTGATTGAATAGAGGAGGATTTACTATCGTATTTACTGAATGGAATTAATTTATCTTCAAATCTGCGGCAGCAAGCAAGTTGAAGGGTCTGGTGGGCTGGTGGGTCTAGATCGACATGAATCCCCTCAAAATCGAAATCGAAATCGAAAGAAAAATAAATACCCAGAGGATCAGAGTAGAGGATAGTATGCTCCTATGCATTTTCCCTTCTCCTCCTTTCCTTTTCTTTTTAAACCAGATAAAATCTACCAAGTTCTGTGCATGACTAGTAATACCAGTAATATCCGCTGATAGCCGGCAGTATAAGAGTAGAGAGAGCTAACTAGCTACAGCTGACCAGCTCTAACCAAGTCAAGCTCGGTCTAGACGCCTTCTGTTCTTCTTCCCCTCTTTGGCCCCTTCACCCTTCCACCCCCGCGTCTACCCCGCGTCACACAAATTGACAATATTGCGCCAATTATTCCCTTGCACTGCGCCTTGCTCGAAGAACGGAGCATCAAAATCCCTCACACGAGCATCATCCCACTCGGATCCCGGCTACCGCGCCAGGGACCCAGCAGAACCACACTTTCAGCAACCCCGCCCCACGCTATAAAAGGCCCCAGGAGATCTCCCATCTTATCTGATGAGCTGATTCATTCATGAGGCCTCAGATGGCAGCAGCAGCAGCAGCATGGTGGTGTTTGTCGACCTCGATCAAGATGCCTTCCGGCATCCCGGCTCATTGCTTGCCCCGGAGAAGCTGAGGGCCGCGACCAGCAAAGCCGCCGAATTCCCTCCTTCAACCACCTCCACCTCCACTTCCGAGCTCAAAGCTCAAGTCACACTCCAAGACGCGCACACTGCGACAACTCTCTCTAAACAGAGTCCGACATCAAAGACTCCCAACTGCAATGCCTTCTCCGCGGCGTTGAGTTGCTACCCGTATGTGGATTTCCCCCCTCAACCTTCACCGCGTCCCTTTTCCCCACACTCGAGCCAAGAACTAATACGATGGCCTTGTTCGGGCCTCCACCAGAATTGTCAAAGAAATTGCCCGCGCCGTCGATTTGAATACCCTCCACGCCCTTTCGCGAACATGCCGCCAGTTCCACGTGAATCTGGCACCGTTCCGGCACCAACTCGTTCGTGAAACGCTTCGTTGCGAGAATGAGTATATCGAGACCGTCTCAGATATGCTGGACGGCAGGGCCGTCCTCCCTGACAGCGTCAAGTCGGTGCTCAGGCTGTTGAGTCAGGGCAACGGTGACCCCGGACGCATGACACGTGGAAAAGTGGGCAGATGTGCGCGCGACATGGTCGGTGACTGTCGACGCTGCACTAAGATCGTATGCAGAGTATGTTCGAAGCACCCGCTGCATGGATGTGTCCAAGCTGATCAGATTTTAGAACTGCACGATCAAGCCTCCCTCCCAGACAGCCTTAAAGGGCCGAATCCGCCGTCTCTGTCAGACCTGCGGCACTGCGCCGCTCTCCCACCATCTCTACAACACACCTCCCAACCCGACCGCAACAGAACACCACGAGGAGACTTCAATACCGAACACACTGGCGAGCAATGTTTGCAATTGCGATGATGTCGTCTGGCTTTGTATCCAGTGCGGCCAGACCCTACGCAGCAACGACATAACCTACCGACGAGTTTGGGCATGGCGTACCCGATACAGTACATACCTTGGTGGTGGACTGGGAACGGGCATCGGCGAAGGCAGCCAGGGGGTGAAATGTGGACGCGGCGAGACATGCCTTGCGGCAAAGGAAATCGAGCTCGAGGTCGACTGTGAAGTAGACGAGAGTTCTAGTGATACCAGCAGTACGGGGCACAGCTCTCCCGCTCACTCATCGTACCACACCGAGTTGCTGTCGACAGATAGCCACGACGGCGAGGAGCCGGGGTATTTTCGGCAAGAAGTGATCGGACTCGGCGGCGTGGTGAAGCATAAAGCGAAGAAGCGAGTCATGGTCGGATCATGCGTGGTTGAGTATGAGGATGAGCGGGAAACAGGCACATATCTTGTTCGGGAGGAGGGTGGCTCACATCGGGCATGGTGTGGATGGTGCTCGAGGGTCATTCCGGCCAAGAGCGAGACATTTCGGAGTTGACATCTTCGCAGAATACTTCTGCATCTCCCTTGAAACTTGAACTTCGTATTACAGTCTACGCGGCTTACATGTAGCATGACTTTTATGATTACTACGGTGTACATACTCTCTCACCGACGACTGCGTTGAGCGCAGTTTGATTTGAAGGGGGAAAAAATGAATTCGCATCTAATGGATTGCTCGAGAAATTTGCGTTTTCGGGTTCAAACCAGAAATTGGCGACAGTGTTATAACAATTTGACATATCTAATAGACTTCATAATCACTTCACAGTCTTGACTCGATGTTGTCCTTTCTGGACGAAAAGACAAAATACTCCGGTAATGCGTCGCTCCTTCATGCAATCATCAATCATACATATCCCCAGACACTTTCAGTTATCACAAATAATATCAAAAGACAATGTTGAAAAAAAGAAGAACAAAAATCAAAGACTCGAAACAAATGTACCTAATCTAGTGCGCTGCGATTGTTCGGAAAAGACTCTTAAGCCTGGATTGCTCTTTTGGCGGAGATTCTTCACGACGACGATGACGGCGCGAGTTAGGATCCTTGTCTCTGCTTTCCTGGCGGGCGGCGCGACGAGAGCCCTCGGGTCTCTTCTCTCGCTCCCTTTCCCGGGGCTTGCTGGACTCGGGTTCCTCGCGAGACCGTCTCCGTGCTTTCTTCTCGGCCCGAGCTTCTTCTTGTCGACGCTCCTCGCGTCTCTCCTCGCGCCTTTCCTCACGTCGTGCTTCGCGGCGAGAGGAAGAGCCGCCGGAGCGAGTGCTAGGTCGCCTTTCATCAATGGTGGTCTTCTCGTCACTCGGTGGACCACTGCCGTTGCTGTGGCTGATCGAAGGACGACGCTCAGTTGGCGGTGCAGTAGATTTCGTGCTGTTGACCCGCACGATGGGTCTAGTCGTGTCTGATTGGCCATTGCCCATATATCGAAGGAAAGCGCGTTTGGGAGCTGGGGCTGAAGAGGCTGCCTGTTTCGAGGATGTAGTCTTGACTGACCTAGCCTGGCCTTGTTCAGACGAACGACGCTTAGGCCTGGGTTCAATCTCGACTTCAACGACAGGCGGTTCCTCCATTGACAATGCCTCCTCTCTTGCCGCAATCTTCTCAGAGCGTCTGATTTTCTCAGGGGGCGAGACTCCACTGCGTTGACGGTCCTCAGCGACAGCTTGCTGTTTCCTCTTCTCCTGGATCTTCTTCTGCTGCTTGTCGTCATGTTCCTTTCTGGCTTGCTCCAAAGCCTTGGCCCACCGGTTAGTGAACAAGCCGCCGTCATTTTTGGGGCGGGAAAGCTGCTCTTTGCGGCCCTCAGAAGAAGTCTTGGAGTATCGTCGCTCTCGCTCACGGTCTTCACGGTCACTAGGCGAGCGTCTCTTCTTTCTGCGAGAACCTTGCCTGGTTGCAGTAGGATCCATGGGCTCCATGAGCTCGCCGCGAGGTCCCTCGGCGGACTCCTCGGGAGGAATCTCATCCGGCGCAAGTCCATAGGATCTGGGTGCCTCGGGCACTAGAGGCTCGGTAGGGAATGGCTCAGATTCAACAGATGCGGGTTCGGGTTCGGGCTCTCGCGCCAGTTCTGGCTCAGCAGGCGCCGGCTCCGGTTCTGGTTCTGGTTCGGCGGGCTGTGGCACCGGCTCGGGCTCAGCAGGAGCTGGCTCTGGCGTTGGCTCTGGCTCGGCGAGTTCGGGTTCAGGTTCAGGTTCAGCGGGTGCAGCCTCGGGCTCTGGCGTTGGTTCTGGCTCGGCGGGGACCGGTTCAGATACTGGCTCTGGCTCGGCGAGTTCGGGTTCAGGTTCAGGTTCAGCTGATGCAGCCTCGGGCTCAGGAGCTGGTTCTGGTTCAGGTTCGGCGGGAGCTAGCTCGGGTTCCGGTGCTGGCTCAGGCTCAGCGGGTGCAGCCTCGGGCTCTGGCGTTGGTTCTGGCTCGGCGGGTACTGGTTCAGATACTGGTTCAGGCTCAACAGGAGCAGGCTCTGGTTCCGGTGCTGGTTCCAGTTCAGCGGCCGCAGGCTCAGGCTCAGGCTCAGGAGCTGGTTCTGGTTCTGCAGGGGCTGGCTCGGGTTCCGGAACTGGCTCGGGCTCAGTGGGTGCAGCCTCAGGCTCTGGTGTAGGCTCTGGCTCAGCAGGCGTGGGATCCACAGGTGCAGCTTCAGCTTCAGCCAGTGAAATTTCCGCTGGAATTTCCTTTGGCTGATCTGCCTCTGAGGTAGGTTCTTCCACTGCTGTTTCTGCTGGGGCTTCTGCTGGGAGTGTAGGCTCAGCAGCTGGTTCAGGCTCAGGCTCAGCAGCTGGTTCAGGTTCAGGTGCAGCTTCGGCTTCGGCTTTGACTTCCTCTGCAGGCTGTTCAGTCACAGGTTCCTCGGCAGCCGGTGCCTCTGCTACCTCTTCAACGGGTGGTTCTTCAGCAGGCTGTTCTGGTTCTGGAGCAACATCTGGGGCCGAGGGTGGTTCTTCAACTGCTGGTTCAGGTTCAGGTGCTGCCTGTGGCTCTTCGGCCGGCTCAGCTACTAGCTCTGGAGTAGCATCCTCCGAAGGTGCGTCCTCCGCCTTGACCTCATCAACTGCGGCTGGTGTGGCTTCGGGCTCAGCGGCTGGAGCAGGCTCAGGTTCCGGTTCCTTGGGAAATTCCTCAGCAGCCGCCTCCGAAGGGGCATTGAGAGAAACATCAGCAGCAGGGGGTTCTTCAACTGGAGCGCACTCCGTTTCTTGGGTAGCTTCAGCTGGCACTTCCTCTGCTTCTGCAGCTGGCGGTACTTCTTCGGGTTCCTTGGGAGCGTCACTTTCGGCGGGATCTGCTGCTTCAGCGGGCTTTGTCTCTGCCTCTACTTCGGCCGTTTCATCGCCTTCGGGTGTTGTGGCTTCTTCTGCAGGTTGTTCTACAGGATCCGGTATAGGTTCTGATGCAGGCTCTGATGCAGGCTCAGTCACAGGTTCAGGTGCAGGTTCAGGCTCGGTTTCGGTCTCAGCTGCCTTTTTCGCCTTTTTAGCCTTTTTCTTGCTCTTTTTTGATTTGCCGGCTGGTTCTTCAGCTGGCGGCTCTTCGGCTGGCGGGCTAGGATCGGCAGGTGTAGCTTCGGATGGAGTTTCGGCTGCTGGCTCTTCACTGGGAGCCTCTTCCTCGGGTTCTGGTGCAGGCTCCGCTACGGGTTCGAGTGTAGCTTCGGGCTCGGGGTCTGGTGCAGGCTCCGCTACGGGCTCGGTAGCTTCGGGCTCGGGCTCGGGCGCAGGCTCTGATGTAGGCTCTGCTACAGGTTCGGGTGCAGCTTCGGGCTCAGGCTCGACAGCCTTTTTACCCTTTTTACCCTTTTTCTTCTTTTTCGACTTGCCGGTGGGTTCATCGGATGGTGGCTCGTCGGCTGGCGGGCTAGGATCGGCTGCTGGTTCTTTACTGGGTGCCTCTTTCTCGGGTTCTGGTGCAGTCTCAACGGGTGCCTCAACAGGAGCTGCAGGAGACTCGGCAGAAGTATCGGCGGGTGTGTCTGCAGGGGCATCTGCAGCCTCCTCTGTCGAGGGTGAATTTTCCAATGGTGCAGGACTATCACCAGTGTCCTCGGCATTGTCAGCGGCGGGTTGCTCATCGCTAGCAGCCGGAGCTTCCCCATCTGCTGGCGGGAGATCCTCCTCGGCTTTGGCGTCTTCAGCTTCTTGCTTGGCGAGTGCTTCTTTCTCGGCCTCTACTTTGTCGAGTCCGGCTTCAGGGTCACACTCTGGAAAATCTTCGTCTGTGAAACCGTCTGTCAAGTTAAGGTTCTCTTTTCCATATACGTGATTCTTACCATTGTTGTCATTGTTATCATCTTTCTTGGCTGCACCATCATCTGCGGCTGGTTCTTCTGCGGGGGCGTAGGCTCTTCGTCTTTCGTTTCGGCCTCTGGATTTTCTGCACCCTCTGCAGGGGGGTTCTTGAGAGGCTTCGTCTGGAGCGCTTTCACCCTCTGCGTTCGGCGCTGGCTCATCACCAGCAGGCTCCTCCTTACCCTCCTCCTTTGCGTCTCCGCTGGCGGGCTCGGTGGCCTCTGCAGACTCAGTGGGCTCAACGGGCTCAGCGGGCTCCGCTGGAGCAGTCGCTGGCTCTGTTGGTTCTAAAGGGCGTTGGGGTAAGTGACTGTTACACAGCCAATGACATAATTCCTCCGATAACTGCCAAATTCACTTTTTAGTACTTACCAGCAGGTTCTGAGTTCGATGAGCTCTCTTCTGCAGGCTTGCTAGGCTCTTCTGCAGGCTTGCTAGGCTCTTCTGGTGGGGGCTCGACGGGGGCATCCTCCTTTTTCGGTTCGGCATCGGCAGCCGTTTGGTTATCCTGGTCCTTGCCCTCCGTCAGACGATTCGCATTGGTATTTTTAGGGGTGATAGGATAAGAAGAGAAAGTCAAAGAGCCAATTTCATAGGTCTTCAATTCACGTTCGAAGCTTTGATATTGAAACTGAGGGATATTCGCATACTTGTATTGGGGTTGCTGCATCTTCGTCCCCTACAGCAGCCGGCTCTGGGGCTGGCTTGTTGATATCCTTGGCTTCGGGGTTTGGTGTCGTAGAGCCGGCAGGAAGACGGTTGTTGTTATTGTTCTTATTCTTCTTCTTCTTGGCCATGTCCTCGTTTCAATGACGTATCACACAACGAGGTGACCGATGCTGACTGGCGCGTGGTGACAAGAATGAAACAATAAGAAAGTGACAAGCTAATGTCGGGCTCGATGCAAGGGTAAAAGTCCGGGACGGCGAGGAATTCTGGAGGTACAAGAAAAGTGAGAGGTAGAGAGTCGCGAGACTGGGTACTGATGTAGTAGAGGACGGAAGAGGAAAGAAGCGTACACCTGTTCCTCTGGAGACGAGAAAATCACAATTGGACCGTCAAGGCGAGGCAGCGTATAACAGTTCGTCCGTTGTCCGGGTGGATGGGACAACAACCCCGATGCAGCGTGGAATTGGGCCCTGGAACGTCATTAACGAACAGCCCGATGGCATCGCATACCATTGGACCACGTCGCCTTCGGTCTCCATGCATTGGTGGCCAGCATTGGGAGAGGATTAGTGAAGCCCGGTGCTTGGATTAGGGCCGGGTGAGAGCAGTATGATCTCCACTTGTGGGCAAAGCTGCAGGAGCAGGCATCCCATGGCGAAAGGGGATTGGGAATAGGGAAGTCAAATACACTATCTAGGAAAGGTCAAGCTGCAGCAGCATGGAGAAAATGGGTCTGATGAGTGGGGGGACAAGTGCCACCATTCAATTCTATTTTTTTTTCTGGTTGATTTCTGCTTTCGAGTACTCCGTCCTCGGTACTCCGCTCCGTACAATGTGCACCCACGATTGCCATAAGGTGGGATGAGAACAGGACGGATTAAGGTGGGTCAAGCACAAGTTGGATGGTTTCCGAGCCACACCGACGAGGGTCTGCATGGTGTGTGTGTGCCCTGGCCAAGGGTGGAAAAAGTGATGCGGTCGAGAGACCCATTTCTGCCCAACGTTTTCCGGCCACCGCGGCAAATGAGATGCAAGCATAGCGCTGAGTGGGGAGACGAGGTCGTAATGAGAAGTGTCCATAAGAAACCAAATTAGCCCTTCCCAAAGGCAATTGAAGCCCAGTGAGTCAAAGGCGAGGGCCCCTAAATGGGGTGGATGGGGTTGATGGAGTCTTGCGGTGGCCATTGTGACTCCACTCTGCGACACCGACACTTCAGCATGGCGATCCTCCTTTGAATCCCCTTCGGATCGTGAACTGCCTCATGGTCTCACGGCCTCACGGTCTCACAATTTCTCAATGCACCGTAAGGGAGTTAGTTGGAATGGGGATCGGAACATGCAGCATGCAGCATTTGAGGAGGTCGTGGAACAAGTGAAGTTCCCGGGCCACGTCGCGTGATCTGCTCCTTCCCATTGGTATTGCCCGCCATTCCACCTCCTCCCACCTCCCACTTCCCCCCCAACTTCTTCCGATTGCTTCTCGATCATCGGCTAATCTCATCTTCGCCATGTTGTGATTGTTCGAGTCAAAGCTCATCCCCTTATCGTGCTGCAGTCGCCACTACCCCCCTGATCCTGCCCCTCACTCCGTTCCCCAAAGAAGCTGCATGCATTGGCTCTTGCAAACAAACTGGCGCGACGCGGGGCGTGCCGCGATTGCCAGACAGCGCCCGACCTGTTGTACTCCCAGAACCTGGTCATCTTCCGATTTTAACTCACAAAGTCAAATGACGACCCAATCCTTACCCTGCAGCGGGCCGAGCATCCATGTTCTATCCGCCCATGGCGAGTGGCTAAGTTTTAGCAAGGCCTCCAATCCGAGCTCTGGATTTCAACCTGTGTCCCGGTCTCAGATTGACTGCTTGAGGACGAAAATCGGCCCAAGGATAGACCAAGTCAGATTCTAGCGTACATGTCTGAAATTATCAGATGTGATCGAACTGCTCTGCTTCGGGTTGCAGAACGCAAAACACATCCAATTGACATCGCTCATGCCGATCGGGGGGGAAGGAGGGGCTTGCAGCGCAAGATTACGACATTCCCGATACTTTCCTACACGTACGAGTATCCGTAGATATTATGTGTCTTCCTTCGATCGACGGGACTATTCGTATTGACAAGTGTCGAGGGAAACACAACACGCTAACTTCGGCTAGACAGAATGGGTGTTGGTGCCAGCCAGTGTCGATGTAGGCGTGGCTGTAAATGCAGGCGCTTGCGAAATAGGTGCATGGCCAAGTTCACGAGGCAGCCAACTATGGAGTATAAGCCGAAGGTTCAAGTTGTTATACATATAGTAACTCCATAGTCCCCCATCATAGACTTGGAATAGAAGTTTGAAGCACTCTGTATCTCAATTCCCCTCGGCTATGTTAGGAATTCTCTTCACGAGATGAAGTGGGTCTAGAGCTCAGAAGCAACTTGAACTTGGATTTTCTATGTGACAGAAGATGTTACCAATAGAGCTGATGGTCACAGCGTGGATTTCTTTGGAAGATTATGGTGCTCGCGCAATCATAGTGACTACAATAAATGCAATTGCGCACCCAGAGATGCTTCACATCGCGAACCTTCGATCGGATTTGGAGTTTCCTGGATGGGTCCGATCCATACGATCGTGGATCTCAGCAGACCTGTGGAGCTTCGTTAGATAGCTATGTACTCCGTACCCTTTCCCCATTTGCGTAGTTTTAAAAGAATGCTTTAAATCTCTGCCGTCCACCCATTCAGAAGCAGAGTTCAGGCGTCATCAATTTTGCTAGTCGCATAACTACCATCATGGCTACCGACGATGTTTGTCTTTTCAACATCAGAACTGTTGATTCCTCTGGAGAAGAGAAGTTGACAAACCGCATCAGCACTGAGGCGGAAATCGGCAAAAAAGCCACTCTAGGCACGATCCGAAACATATTGGCAAGTGAAAAGAAACTCGACTCAGCAAATTAAGTGATCTATATTCTGGGCATGGCGCACATGAATTCGGGACTCATGATTTGTAAAAGGGCTCGACTTGCCTTCTGCAGTAAGGATGGTGCTCGTATTGGTGACGACATGAGTTGGGCTGTATACAAAAGATAGTCAAGGGTGACGAAAACGTTTGCATATGTGCTTCAAGAAGTAGCACAAAGTTACAGAGAACTTGGAATGTTAATACCTGAATGTGATGCAGGACGACTCGGGAGAAAAAACAAAGGACCCCGATAGCATTCAGGCCCATGAGGTATATCTTGAGTGGACAGAAGAAAATGAGGAAGAGAAGGAAAAGAAGAAGAGCATGAAGAAGGAGCTAAGCGCAGGTGCCCAGAAGGCCTTGGATAGTGACCTGGATCTGGATTCGATCGTATGTGGCGTTGAAGCTCGTTCATATATTATGGTTTCGAAACTGATTCATATATGCGTGTGCAGAAAATTAAGCCGGAGTTGATCACTGCACCTCTGAAAGAGCTTGCTAGCAAGCATAATCATGCCAGCTTCAAGGCCGGTGTCTCCAAGGACGGTGTTATGTAAGTGATGAACCTTGGAAGTGCTCTATCGCGATTTCATTATAGATCATTTGGCTGACAGCTTAACAGAGTTGCTGGTAGCATGTCTGAAGAAAACTGGGATTCAGTTCTTCGGAATACCCAATACCTGAACGGCCATCGAATGGTGTTTTTTAACTATGCGAATGGTCCTAAAGGATTCAAGAGGATTGACAAGGCCCCTTATACTGGTGAGTGCAGTATATTATCGACCTTGCTTATTTGATTGTGTCCGAGTCATCTAATTTATTGTATGAAGCATTCTCTATTAAACCCAGAAAAATGACCAGCATGGAAAAAGCCGACAAAAGCATCCAATTTGAAGTAAGTAATAATCCAAAGTTACACCCGGATTTCTGGTTAACACATATCAGACCAAATACCGAATCCCTAGATACGTTGTGACTGATGACTCCTATGTCAACGTCTTTGAGACTGCAACTGCACTCTCTAAGAGTGTTCCATCGAGTTCTTTCTCCCAACTGGATGTCGAAGCTTCAGGGTGAGAAATCTAGAACATGGAAATTGCATTTCTATCACTGATATTTCTCAGGGAGGAAATCTTTTTGGTGCCAGTATGTCTGCAAATGGCAGATTTCAGCGAGAGTGAAAGCCAAGCTGTCGCTTCATCTGGATCATCTTCGACCAAAACGATGAACGTCACATATAATGTAAGGTGGCCTCATCGAGATAATGCTTCCAGCACAGTCTAAGCTAACATTGTTCTTGTTCAGTTTCTGAGGGTCGTCTTGCATCTTGAGCCAAGAAGTGTTGAGTTGACAGAGGATTGCAAGATTTCACTCAAAGAAGTGAAGGATGAGGAATCTCTTGTCCAATTCCACCACGATTACGGTTTGTTGACACGTCTATATTTTATATGTCCACAGATATAATTTTGTACTTCGAGGTCTAACACTTTTTTACAGGTCATTTCTTTGCTACCAATGTTCAGCTGGGTGGCAAACTCTTTGCTTCTGAGCAATTTACCTCCACAGAGTCTGCAAAGGCAGAAGAGAAGGCAAATGCAATGAAGGCTAGCGCTCAAGCTTCCTTCTCATATAATTCGTTCCAAGCTTCAGCCAGTGCAAGCTATGAAACGAATAAAAATATATCAAGCTCAAGCCAAAGCAGTGGAATGTCAAATTCGCTCACATAGGAAGTCCAGGGCAGTGATACAATTCTGTGCAATGAGTGAGTTGGACCCGCTGAATAAAGTCCCCCTGCCTGCAGGTGGACTTGATGCTAACATGGGATTTTCTCAAGTCCCCCGAAATGGTGTCATACTGTCAAACCGTTCAACCACTAGAGAGTTATCAATGTAAGCCTTCCTTCCATCGGAGGTTTCAAGCGCCGATGTACTGAATATCAGCAGCAACAAGATGTGATGCCATTGGTGGACTTTATCGGAAGCTTTCCTGGTTACCGGCACATCCCCGAACGCTTTGAAAGCATTGTAGCTGGGACCAGAAAGCCCGTTAATTGCCAGTTCCGCCTTCGAGCAAACGAAGGTCCGGGTGTTGGCAAGAATGAATTCTATGGCGTGCGCAAGGACGAGGAAAAGAAACGACTTGGTATGTTTAAACTGTATTTATAGTTGATTGGTTCCTGCTAATATGATCGATACAGGACCCGTGTTGTTGAAATACCAGGAACAATTGAGAAGGGTAGCTAAGGCAGCACACGGCGCATTTGGCCTTGCCGCTGGAAACATTGACGCGGATACAGCGGACAAGGTCTTCTCGGCATTTTCCAAGCGAGTCAAGGGTGAAGGGTTTACAGATAACTTGAAGGAGTATGTCGGAATTGGTGGGTGAATTGACGGCTGTGACTTCGAAATTGAAGTCTCAAGCGAGCTCAAACAAGTCCCAAAGGTATTTATCCCTTCTTCGTTTCAATCGTCTTTGATTCATCCTACTAATCCGCTTTAGAAGCTCAAATACAACGGGCCTTACTTGATCCATGCATCCAAGGAGAAAACCTATCTTGATGCAGATACATCTGGCAGCTACAAAGGGACATTTTTTTTTGGTTACATGTACTATGCTCGTAAGAGTTCTGCCAGCAAGTTCATGTTTCGAAAGGTCGGTGCCAGGGAGGCCAAGGGCGACATTAATCAAGGCGCAGAGGTCGAGTTGACTCTATGTGATGATTCTGGCAAGGCTATCGGTGTGGTGCAGCGCTTCAAGAACGATTACGCGACCCTGCTAGTGAGTAAATATGGTGTGGAGGACGACTTGACTACGACCAATAACTCAAAGCTGGAATACATCAAAGACTAAGTGTTACGGGCATGACGCATCATATTTCAACAATTGACATATGCTTCCCATTGCTTGTCAATCGCTACACGCTCGTGATGGGGAACTTGACTCCACGCCTGTTGAAATTTTGAAGCTTGTAGCTCCGAGGAAGAAAGAGTTGAGTCAATAAAACAAGCGCTTGCTTCAGCAGTTTCTTGAACAAGTTCCATGGGGACCATGTGGCCACACGGTAGAACTGATTCCTGTACACGACCGCGAGCCAATCCTCCGCTCCCACCGACACCAGTGCCAGTCATTTGTATCTTTTTCTGGCGGGCAGCCGGGGAACTTAGCGGGGAGCTTTCACCGAACAGATATAGAACATCTGGCTTTAGATGAGGCAATTGACGGAATATGTGCGCCGGTTCCGGGCGATGGAATGGAGAGTCTTCAATGTCATCTGGGTGCATATCATCTTCGGGTACGCCACGAGCAAGACCCGATCGCTCATCCACATAAGATGGTCGGAGATAGAAGAACAGCTCCTGTGGTTTCGTTGTGGTTAACGTGACGGCGGATCGGCCATTCTCATCGGATAAAGGATACGTCGGGGTAGGAAGATCTCGAAGCCCATATTTGACGAACTTCTCAAAAACGCGGGGGTCCCATGCACGGTAGAAAGGTTTCGATTGTAACATTTGGGCGGCCTGTTCACGAGAAGGCCATAGGTCTCTTCGATTTGTAGACGCTCGAGCGAATCCACTACCAGGATTTTCACGCTGAATCACTGGGTCAAGCAGAATGAGTCCATTGAATAGAGCGGGATGAATTAAAGACAGATGAGCCCTAAAGCGGTTAATTCCTATCCTACATCCAGAAAGGCTGAAAACTCACAGTTGCGTCGCACCCATGCTATGGCCGATTCCAACTATCGGGTGCGAAATATCATCTTGAAATTGATTGATTAAGTGGAGTAAATCACGTCCGTGGTCGAACCAGTCGGCTTCAAAGATATCAGCATATTACATTCATTCAATGTGAGCACTTACGATCATCTCCTAATATTGCTTCATTCAAGATGCCACTTTGCCCTTGTTGGGCCACATCTGCTATCCATATTGACCGTATATGCCGGTTTTTTGCGCGTAACCGCTCATGCAAGTCGTCCCAAAGAGGCTCGTAAAGTTCCTAGAAGTTGATTCAGTACGGTGGTGAAGCGAGGCGAGAAACGAGAGAAAGTAGGGGAGAAGACGCACCTTGGGAAAAGAATTCGCATGCGCCCCTATTAAAGTCACATCGGACGGCTGTGGCTTGCGATCGCTTTCGGGGAGATATTGTTTTACTGCAAGTCTGAGTCCTTTTTCATGTCCGAGTTTCACAGCACCCGGGCGCTGACGGATATTTTGACACCTGATCGTGTGCTCGATGACTCTGAAATTCAACAATTGTCTCATCTTGTGAAATACCGATCGAACAGTTGACCTTTTTTGTCGCCACTTCAAGTGCCGTGACACGTTTTTCAATGAATAAAGGGTGATGGTATTCAAGGGGTATTGATATGCGTCAATGTTTATCGCGATGGGTCTAAGGGAGGGTCCCCGCACTGCCGAAGATAGCCGACACCGGTCTCACACGTAATGGTCTCGGCATCGTGTAACACTGACCGAGGTACTCTTGTATCGATCTTTTCAACTTGAAGTCAATGAAGCAACTTGAACCAGGGACGGTGTCGGAGATGGGAATACGGGCGTTATCATCAATTGGAAGTAAATGAATCATTTTATTCACATGGGTATCATCCACAAAGAGACTCCAGCAAGCCATAGTTTTGGAAAGGAGCAAAAAGAGCGCATGCATCTAAAGAGTGTATCCCGGAAATCCGAAATCAAGCATGGCTATCAAAAGTGACGGGGATATAGATAATACTAATTAGAAAACCCACGGAACTCCGGGCACGATGCAAATGCAACCTTGTTCATAAATCATGTGCGAGCGACATTCATTTTCGCATCCATTTTTATCCTCCAACGGGGCCCAAAGACTCTCATGAAAAAGATGACGCTGCTGCTTGCGAGACCGACTAGACCCGGAATCGTGAAGAGCCATCCATTGCCGATTCCATGAATGATCGGAGCTGTGACGACAGATCCCACACAGGAGAAGATGTTTCGCATGAAGTTGTTGAGTGCAACACCCTCCGAGGACTTTCTCGGCATGAACTCGGTCAACATGGTGGTAACCATACTAAAGATCAACATAGAGCCGATTCCAAAGAAAAAGTTCGCGATCATCTGAGAATGTCAAGTTAGTATATTGGCTATTGGTGTGCTGGGCATTCAGTTAACTCTTTGAACTTACCGGGACCAGCCAGAACACTCCCTTTTCAGCCGTCCAGCCATACCAGATAAGCGCGATTGGGTATAGAAAAGCTCCAAGCCAGGCGTTTTCCCGCATTCGATCTTCAGGTCGGTAAATCAGTCTCCCTTTTTCGTCGTAGCGATTTGCTTTTCTCGCCTCTCGTTGCATGATGCTATCCATCCACTTTCCACCGAATAAGCTGGCCACCACATATCCCACTGAATTTGGAATATAGAGAAGCCCAACAATGATAGTCGAAAAGTTATATGGGGGGCTTTGAAAATGTCGCTTCGACACTAACATTCAACACATAGAGCGAACCGAAGGCGATGCTGGCGTAGTAGACAGTTAGGAGGACGGGGATGTATTGGAGATAAAGGACGATTTTTAACGGATCGATGAAAATAACTTTGAGCTTCTTAAGCCATTTTGTGGTGGTTCGAGCGACTTGTCGGGTTGAAACGCGGCTGAGAGACTGGCTGATGGGCTCGCCATCTTCCTCGATTTCGGGGAGTGTGGGTTTCTGGACAGCGAGTGTCTCGGGCAGCGCCACAAATATGAAAATGACGGTGATCGCACCGTATACTGCGAGGAACCACAGTGTACTCCGCCAGCCCCAGCGTTGGGCTAAAAGTCCACCAATGATGGGGGCTAGTAGAGGGCCGCACAACGGACCTGAGATAGAATATTCCCATAGCGCGGCCTCTTTCCCGAGGATCCCACAGATCGGCAATTGTTCCTGCGCCAACAGCTTGAACGGAAGCGGAGGCGCCGCCGCTTAACATTCGCATCACGATAAGCATAGCGATAGAGTTGGAAATAGCACAAAGGCAGTTGAAAAGCACGAAAAGAAGGAACGAAACCAGGTAGATCGTACGTCGTCCCAAACGCTCGCTAAAGGAAGACCACCATAGAGGAAAAATTGACATGCTCAGCATGTACAAGGCGATGGATAGATTGGTAATGGTGGTCGTTGTGTGCAGCTCCTTGGCCACTTGGGTCAGTGAAGCTAATCAAATCTCAATTAGCATTGTAAGTATCAAAAGAGCCCGAGACTGGTCAACTTACGGAAGAAGATCGAGCTGCCCATGGGCGCCGTAGCACCCGCCCACGCTACAATGAATGTGATGAACCATTTCATCCTCCGGGGATAGGTCTTTGGGTCCTCGACTTCGGCCACCAGAGTAAGTGAGCCGAACAAGCCCCTGCGTTTGAGTCGAGGGACTGCCACCGCAGGACCAAGTTCGGTCGACATGCGTGATAAAGGTGCTGGGTCTTCTGGGTCATTCTTCTCTTGCTCGGCCATGATGCTGGAGCTATGGGAACGAGAACGCATGTCGTCAACTTCTGGATCGCCACTCGTCGCTATCGAATGGACATCATCACGATCGGCTCTATTCAGGGCCAGTGAAGGCGACACCGCAGCATCAACTTTTTCCTCCCGCATGTTGGCCGAATGGACGTTGGAATGACGAAGATCGGACTGTAGCCGCAGGTGATTGGAGAGATTTCGAACCCCAGGGGGAAATACCCGCTTGGACGCAAGCTGGGCGCGCGGGAAGAAAGAATTGATGGGGTTCTCATGCAAATTAAAAAGTAATCACTGTCTCTAAGAGATGTGGGGTAGTAGGGTAATATGAAAGCGAGTGATTCGTAGCCACCCTGATGCGCCACCCTATCTGACCAGGTCAAGAAGGACTGAAGTATTCTCGACTTGTTTGATAAAATATGCGGATGCAATGGCGATCCAGGTTGCATAAAGAATGAAGTCCAGATGTGAAGAAGTAAGTCGCAAAGTTGACGTCGGCAAGTTAAAGGTGAGAGGTACCGGAGGCAGGATCCACCGTAACACTCTTCAAGCAGGACCAAAGACGCCTAGGTTAGCTTCTCGTCTGACGGTTCAACCTTCAGTGTCTGTCCGAAGTCACGATTCGAAACTTGAATGATCTTCTGAAAGTCTTGAAGAGGAAAAAATCGAGGGCGTGCGAGATCGCCGGTTCCACCTACAAGGCTTGTCTACTGGATGCGGAACGCCGACGAGGACCGACGAGGCCCGATCCACGATATTCCCCATGTTATATAAGGTGAAACGTGGATTAAAATCCGACAGCAAGAGGGGGCAAAACCGAAAGATGGCGTCGTGGGCCACCCGAGCCAGTCACCATGTAGAATCACCGTGCCGGTCTTCCGTCGGCAAAAGTGATGGCGGAGTATCCCGCTTGCACCAAAAGCATCCAAGGCAAAAGCCAGTAATCTGGCTGGTTTTAGTGTACATGAGATTGTCCTATACATTCATCAAATCTCAATCTAGCATTGACTGATGAGAACCTGAACAGGAAGGGAATGGATTGTCAAGATTAAACTTGAGCTTGAATGGACCTCGGCGCGGCTTGCCGACCTCTTGTGTCAACTCCCGACGTCAGCAACCAGTGTCCAGTGTCTTACTAACTAGTTAGTACCTTTGTGTTTCAAGATATAGAAGTGCATCAGTCTCTAACATCAACTCATTACTTATTACTCGTATCACTTCTAAGCATTCCCAAGGTCCAAGTCCATGCCAGTGGATCGTGATATACCTTCAAACCGCAGATCTGATGCGTCACCAACCTTGAAAGTGCCCCCTCATTCGCGGCGGAAGAGCTTCCCCCGGATTCCCAGGGCCTTAACCTCCAAGCCATAGCTCCCAACTCACGGTTGACGTATTCTCCGCCCATGACATTCGACTGCACACTGCAAGGAGGTGATTAATAAGCCCACAACAGGATATGATGCACTGAGCATGGAAAGACGGTGTGGTACTCGTCTCCTCGCTCAAGCAGGGCGGTTCAAGTTCCGAAGACAAACACCCCATCTCGTTCAACGTCAACAGCTGTCAACTGCAATTCTTCCACCTTCCACCTCCCCACACTCCCCCGAACCACCCAAAATGACCGTTCCAACCAAGATTGAACCCAAGGATGTTCAGGCCCATCTGTCCCAATTCAAGGGCGACAGCTATCGCGATGGCTGGGCTTCGCTCTGGGACAAGGGTGAAGGTCTACCTTGGGATAAGGGTTTCCCTAACCCTGCATTGGAGGATGCCCTGGTCCAACGCCGAGGCACCATTGGCGGGGCCGTTGGCCAGGACACGCAGGGCCAGTCATACCGTCGAAAGGCCCTGGTCCCGGGTTGCGGCAGAGGTGTTGATGTCCTGCTCCTGGCTAGCTTCGGCTTCGATGCCTATGGCCTTGAGTACAGTGCCACGGCAGTGGAGGCTTGCAAGAGGGAGGAGGCCGAAAATCACAGCTGGTACCGCGTTCGGGATCAGAATGTCGGTCAGGGAAAAGTGACCTTTGTGCAGGGCGACTTTTTCGATGATGCTTGGCTGCAGACAATCGGAGTGCCCCTGAATGGATTTGATATTGTTTATGACTACACGGTAAATCAACCTCATTTTTGCCCTTTTTGTTTATTTCCCTTCAAGTTTCACTTCGGATCGGAGCTGCCCCGCACTCCACCAGTTGGTTACACGACGGAAGGCGAGGAGCGGCCGGAGACCGACACCGGCGGTGTCTCCACAGTTTTTGTTTGCTTGTCAACGCGTTACTAACATTGACTGCAGTTCTTCTGTGCTCTCGAGCCATCTATGCGCCCTAAATGGGCCCTGCGACACACCCAACTTCTGGCTCCTTCACCGGCAGGTAACTTGATCTGCCTGGAGTTCCCCCGCCACAAAGACCCCAAGGCACCTGGACCCCCTTTCCCATCATCGTCAGAGGCATACATGGAGCACTTGAGCCACCCTGGAGAAGATATCCCCTACAACGACCAGGGTCTCATCAAGCAGGACCCCTTACGTGCGCCAAGCAAGGCTGGCCTTGAGAGGGTGGCCTACTGGCAGCCCGAGAGAACCCACGAGATGGGTCAGGAGAACGGAAAGATCGAGGACAGAGTCTCCATCTGGCGTCGACGTAACTAGAAAAAACTCGCTTTCTTACATTTCCCTGCAGCTGATCCCACTGCAATGACTATATACAGGCCATCAGTGCTAGGTGATATCCTAGTAAAAGCTGGATGTGGAAATGAAAACAGTCTTTAAGTTCCATTCAACTTGAATAAAAGAAACACGTAGTGTAGTGTAGCTATCGGATAGATTCATGGCCCAAGATAATTTCAATTGCTTTTGGCTGTGATACAAAGGAGTCCTGGATCATTAGGAAACCAAGGGAGCACTAGCATGTAACACATGTTAAGGTGGCTCCTTGTTACGCGCAGGTTGAATTGTCCGAAAATGGGGCCATAGGGCTGTAGGGCTGCAGGGCATGTGGCTTGGAGGCATCTTCTCCAAATAAATTATTCTCGCTAGTCGTCGAGAGACTCCACAGTGCATCGAGGGATAAAGTGCTGCCTGTTGACTTGCTCAGTTCGTGTCCACATTGGAAGTGTACGATATCAAAGTATGCTAGTTGAATTTGCATTCAATGGGTTTAGAAAATCCGTGATTAGCATAGCCTCCGGCTATACTAATCACGGACCATTCTGCATCGGTCCAGGAAATCCAGGGGTTGCTGTAGAGTAGTGAAGCCCTGTTGGCAATTCAAACCCGGCTTTATATTTTCGATCATTCTGTAAATTTGTGGAAATAAATGCCTTCAAGTTGTCGGAGGACTACGTCCTGCGCGAAAATCCAAGTACCTTCCAAGGTTGACAGAATGCCAGCCACCTGGCCACTTCCCAGCTGTCTTCAAGGTGTAATCGAAACGAAGAAAATCATGTTTAGTACTATAGTTCTCAAAAAGTTTCTTTGATGTCATTTGATAACATCATACGGAGTTCAGCAGGCTGCCAGTGAACGACATATTTTGGATCGCGCCTGGGAAAAGTTTCCGATCTAATAATCCGAGGGCCGTTTTGGGTGTGACGACTAGGGTATCACGACTTGAATCGGAGCACGGATTGTCAACTGTAACTCAAGATGGAATTGAAATGACGACCAGAAAACCTGGCAATGCTTTCACATGAAATCGAACCGCTGTTTTTTCTTGTCATGATATGCAAAAGAACTATGCATCGTTCATGTTCTATCACCAGATCTATAATATTAAGTGCATCCAAGAGATGGTAGTCATAAGTGACACTCTGGAAAATCTCAGGACTGCTTGACTAGGGCATTGTAGTGTTCGCCTAGTCCGTATGTGTGTCGGTAGTATGCCAGCCAAAGAACGCGTTTAGCCTTTTCTTCCTCATCGAAGCTGTCCATGTCTCCGCATTCGATCTTCTCCTGTCGTCCATCACTCTGAACAACATTGATGGTCACACCATATGCCCTCGCTATAGCCTGGAGCTCCAGTTGGCCACCCCACTCGGCAGTGAGCTTGATCTTCCGCGTATACACATCCAACGGCTCTTCCATAAACGCCTCAAAATCATCCTTGTGTTCCACAATATAGTCTGCCGTAACGGCCCGAACAGCGCGATAGCCATCATGCTGGGGCGATGTTACAGTATCGATGCGTGTTTGTGATGTTGGTTGGAGAACGATTCGGCTTGGGTCCGGCCGCAAACCGAGTCCAGAATCATCCAGCTGCTTGGCAATTGCAGAATAGAGACAGTGGCCATCCGGTGTAACCTCCACCTCTTTGAGACCCAGTTTCTTGAATGCCGCGTCCATGACTCCCTGCTCATTGCCTCTATAGTTTGTTTGGTTCTTGGCCTCTTCAGCCGCAGCCTCCGACATGGCTACTTGCTCAGCGGCCCGACGGGCGAGACGAGCCTTTGCTCGATTGGGTTTCTTCGTTCGACCAGCGGGTTCTGATTCTGAGGGAGCTTGGGTGGTGGAATCTGTCTCTGGAATTGCCGTTGTCTTGTCCTCGTTCGGTTCATCGGCCGGAGCCCCATCTTCCAAGCTCAGATCTTCCAGGACTTCAACTGGCTCCGTAGACTCTCCATTGAGTTCTGCGATCTCGGTTTTGTGTCGTTCTGTAAGGTCACGTTGCATTTGTTCGCATTCATCGTTAACGCCTTTCCGTGTCTTCTTGGTGGCGGACTTTTTCTTTTGGGTGATCCGGCCTTGGAGATCTTTTTGCTCCTTGCGGTGCTTCGCTAGTAACTCCTCCATAATGCAATTGAATAGAGCCTAGACCTTGAGAGGTCTAACAGGGGGATGAGAGTGAATAGGCGAAGGTGAAAAAGAAAGGGTATGGGACCAATGCGATCACAACACTGGGGAGCAACCTTAGGAAGTCAAACTGCAGCTTCGCCCCGCAAAACCCTGAAAAAGGTGCCCTAAGTTGTGACCAAAATAGGCATAGTCCGACAGTCCCAAAAGGGATACTCGCCCGCCGCCGGAGAAACCATTGAACCGATGAGCCTCGGCTTGTCCAGTCGGTGTCTCGGGTATGCGGTGCGACGAGGAGCTTCGAGGGGGGAGGGATTACTACAAATGTACTCCATATCAGTCCCACGTCGGTGAGGATCTTGACTTAACTTCCAGAATATTGCAATCATGGATTCAGCCAGTCTTTTTGATGTTAAGGTATGTGGCTTCGCTTCCTCTGTGCTCTCTCTACTCTACTATACTAACTAGCTTCTCTACAGGGCAAGGTGGTGCTGGTCACCGGCGGAGCCAAAGGTATCGGTCGCATGATCTCAGAGGGCTATGTGACCAATGGCGCTACCGTCTACATCTCCTCCCGCGATGCAAAGGCATGCGAGAAGGCTGTCACTGAGCTGAATGCCCTTGGCAAGGGCAAAGCCCATGCCATTCCAGCCGACTTTTACAAGTATGAGGATGTGAAGCAGCTGGCGGATGAGCTGGCCAAGCGAGAGAGCAGTCAGTCATATCCCCCCTCCCCCTCTCTCTGTTTCACACTTGGCACGGTTGATGGGAGATCATTGGCACTAACACAATTGGTATATCCTCTAGAGCTCGATGTCCTGGTCAACAACTCCGGTTCCAACTGGGGCGCCCCCTACGACGAGTATCCCTCTGAAGCCTTCACCCGCGTCCTGACCCTCAACCTTCACCGTGTCTTCGACCTCACCAAGCTTGTGACTCCTCTCTTGGAGAAGGCGGCTACTCCGAATAACCCGGCGCGCATCATCAACATTGGCAGCATTGACGGCCTCCGTGTCCCCTCGCTCGAGACCTTTGCATATAGTTCCAGCAAGGCCGGTCTGCACCACCTCAGCCGAGTTCTTGCCAATCACCTAGGAAAGAGGAACATCACGTACGTTTATTTGCTACTGCTGCTGTACCTCTGCTTTCCCGAGACTAATCTGGTTCCCTTTACAGTTCGAATACCTTGGCCTGTGGCCCGTTCGAGAGCAAGATGATGGCAGCCACACTTAAGTCGTTCGGTGAGGCTATCAAGGCCGGTGTGCCTCTGGGCCGGATTGGAACACCGCAAGATGTAGCCGGTTCTTGCTTGTTCCTGAGTAGCCGAGCAGGCGCATTTATCAATGGGGCGACCATTACGGTGGATGGTGGCAGCGCCATTGCCGCCAAAATCTAAGGTTGTCGCCGGATCTGGCCTGTAGATATTATTAGATATTGACTAGCACCCAGTTTTCTTGTATATTCAATTTTGCTCTAACTTGAGTCTCTACTCTATGCTTGCATTCCTTAGCTAGCTCTAGGCATCAAGGGGTGCCCAAATGGAAGCTCCAACATTCCAGCAGATGGCTGGCTACTCCACCCAGCCCAATGACCTTTTTTGCCTTTTTGCCTGGATCTTTGCAAACGGATGGTCTCGCCACACCTGGAGAAGAAGAAGAAGAAGCAAAAAAAGAACTCTGGGCATTCATCCAGTATTAGGCATGAATTTGTGATCTCTTTCTCTCTTTAAACCTCCGACCTGGACACATACTCTATAGTAAGGCCCCGCAAATTGAATTGCTTATCAGAGGCAAGTTGGCCCCGATCGGATCCACGGTGGAGCGGCGACATCATCGACCAACGTCATTCTCAATCAGGACATCCCACCTTCGAGAACATTTTGGTTCTGGTTCTTGTTGTCTTTTCTATCCTTCTTACAAAGTTCCCTTTTGGTAACAAAGCACTCGATACTTTTTTGATCAAGTTTGTGCCGCTTGTAACGAATCGAATCACTTCACATCAGTTCTGTTCTGTTCAATTCAACAGCTGAGTCTCCTCAGAGCTGCACATTTACATTGTCTACTACTTCCCCGGGTACAAGTACAAACGGTCCTTGTGTGACATCTCTAACCAGGTGTTCATCCTCGTATACATCGAGGGCCCCCAACAAACCCCCACAACCACCCCCCCCAGGGTACTGAACTCCGGAGTCGGTGTGGACGTACGACCCGCCTGGCGTCTCGCACAATCAACTCGCTTTGTACTTCTCCTCCTCATCGCCCTTCAAGACCATGAGCTCATCCGAGTCCAATGGTCCCCGACGGGCTGGTTCCATCGACCCATACTCCAATTCAGAGATCTACTATGGCAATGATGATCCTTCTGCCAGAAACAGAGATCGCAGACGCGCCTTTTCTACGGTAAGCAGCCACAGTGCTTGTGCGGCTACCCCGCGGACGACCATCCCAGCTCACGTCAATTTTTTTCCGAGTACAGAGCGTGAGAGACAATGAGAGAGATAATATCCACGACCTCTTAGGCACACTCCCCACCAGACGAGGTAGTCACGGTAGGTTTCTTTCTCTCCGCAGCTCCTGACGAACTAGCTACGTGAAACTGTACTGACCGCTCCGCATAGATGAGGCATCTGGAAACCCCCGCAAGTTCCTCATCGACGTTGATGAGACCCTTGGTGCACTGCTGAAGCAGGAGGATACCGACAAGAACATGCAGATTACAATCGAGGATGCTGGGCCAAAGGTGTGTCAGATCGACAACTATGAGCTGCGGACCAGCCGCTGACCGCAATGCAGGTACTCTCGGTCGGAACAGCCGGATCCTCGGGATTTAGACGTGTGGATGTGCGTGGCACATACATGCTCTCCAATCTCTTGCAGGAGCTTACTATCGCGAAAGACTACGGTCGGAAGAATATCATCCTCGACGAAGCACGCCTGAGCGAGAACCCAGTCGCACGCCTCTCCCGTCTGATCAAGAATTCCTTCTGGAAGGCCCTCACGAGACGCATTGATGGATCCAATATCGAAATCGCAGGCAAAGATCCGAAGGACTGGACCGATGATCCCCGCCCTCGCATTTACATCCCACCTGGTGCCCCCGAGCAGTTTGAATATTATACCAATATCGCCGAGAAACACCCGGAATTGAGATTGGATGTGCAACTGCTACCGGCTGAGATCACACCAGATTATGTCATGGGATTGGTTGACAAGCCCGGACTACTTGCCCTCGCCATGGAGAAGAAGTATAACGAGGACACCAAACAGGAAGAACTGTCGGGTGTCCCCTTTCGTCGTACCAGGAGGTCGATTCAACGAGCTTTACGGATGGGATAGCTACTTTGAATCTTTGGGTCTGATTGTTAGCGACCGTGTTGACCTTGCTAAGGGCATGGTCGTCAACTTCTGTTTCTGCATCAAGCATTATGGAAAGATTCTAAACGCCAACCGAACCTACTACCTCACTCGCTCTCAGCCACCATTCTTGACTGATATGGCTCTGCGTGTATATGAACGAATTAAGAGCGAGCCCGACTCCAAGGAGTTCCTTCGAAACTCTGTTCTTGCTGCCATTAAGGAATATCACACGGTATGGGCGTGTGAGCCACGCCGCGATCCGATTACTGGGCTCTCGAGATATCGCCCCGAAGGTTGGGGTGTACCTCCAGAGACTGAACCAACCCACTTCCTTCACATCCTGACGCCGTATGCGGAGAAGCATGGCATGACCTTCGAAGAGTTTGTCAAGGCATACAATGAACGGACCGTTGTCGAGCCGGAACTGGATGAATACTTCCTCCACGACCGAGCTGTGCGCGAGTCTGGCCATGATACCAGCTACCGTCTCGAGCGCATCTGCGGAAACCTCGCAACTGTCGACCTGAACTCTTTGCTGTATAAGTATGAGGTGGACATTGCGCGTATAATCCGTGTTCACTTCAAGGATAAGCTGTCGATCCCACAAGAGTTCCGCACAGCTGCCACCCAAGACATTGAATTTGAATCATCCGCCGCTTGGGATCGCCGTGCCCGCAAGCGCAAGCAAACTATGGATCAATTGATGTGGGACGCCGATAAGGGCATGTTCTTTGATTACAACACAGTCACCAAGGAGCGCAAGGTATACGAAACCGCAACTACCTTCTGGGCAATGTGGGCCGGTCTTGCTACACCTCAGCAAGCAGCACAGATGGTGCAAAAGGCGCTGCCTCGGCTGGAAGCTTTCGGTGGTCTGGTCTCGGGATCGGAAGAGTCACGAGGCCCAGTCGGCCTGGAGCGACCCAATCGGCAGTGGGACTTCCCTTACGGCTGGGCACCTCAACAGATGCTCGCCTGGACCGGGTTCCTGCGCTATGGGTACGAGGAAGAGGCAGAGAGATTGGCGTATAAGTGGCTTTACATGATCACCAAGGCTTTCGTTGACTTTAATGGCGTTGTCGTCGAGAAATATGATGTGACTAGGCCGATCGACCCTCACCGAGTCGATGCCGAGTACGGAAACCAAGGTACCAATTTCAAGGGGGCACCACGTGAAGGGTAAGTTTAATGATCCGATTCGGTTGATCGGCATGGAAAATGCTAATGGCGACATCGCAGGTTCGGCTGGGTCAATGCCAGCTATGTCTATGGATTGGACATTCTTAACGCGCATATGAGACGTTCCTTGGGAGCTATCACACCCTACGATACTTATTATCGGGCGGTTAATGGGCCGGGTGCGAGCGCATTTTAGCTCATTGAACTTAGCTTATTGGATTGGGGTTGGGTCTGTTTTTTTCTTCTTTTCTTGCATTCACGACCATTGATTTGGCGGGGAAAAATCGACAGAACAAACTTGAAAAGCATGCATTAGAAACGAGTGTCACGAGCAGGGGAGAAATTGCAATCTGGTTCCTCGACTTCAATTTTGGATCGTATGCATATTGTAGCTTGTAGTGATGGTCAGTTGAAGGTTTCCGCATGGGGTCGAGATGCAATTTCGCTCTGACTCATTTCGCAAAGAGACCAGGCGTCTTGAGAGTGCCGAGTAAGTGTTTTGATATATGACATTTATTAATACTACTAGTACAAGCTGTACTCTGTATTTCACATTCAAACCTTGGAGCAGATACCTTAACCGTGCTATTCCCCGCAAAATGAACATCAGCCACCTCCTCAGGAACTAGCTCTGGATGAGCGAAAATAACCCGGCACCCCTCGGCGACCTGAGTTTCTACCGGCTAACTTCCGAAAGAGAATCAGGGATACCGATTCACATACGACGCATGGCGTCGGACATTCCACAGCAGGACAGGCACCGATCCTCTCAATGGCCGAGCAAGACGCGGGTGGGGGAGCACCCTGGATTACCCGAGGCTATTCTCGTGACTGACGCGGGTTGAGCGGCCTGGTGACCGTTTTACCCCAGGTTGATTTAGAAGTTCGAAGGAGTAATTTAATAGTGAGGAATTCGATTTATATAGTTCTTGAATCTATAGATTTAGATATAGACCCAGTGGGAGGAGGTGGGATGGGTATACAGATAACCTTAACGGTCGTCGGCCTCGGCGTCCTATGGGAAGCGCCGAGGACGGAGCTGGGACTTGAAGGTGGAATGAGCAGCTAGATCGCTGGAGCCCTGGAAAGCTTTGGCCTTTGACAGACCAAACATTTCTGTCGATCTAGACAGGGGTTTAATGTAGGTAAGCAGGTCTTTGAGCCGAGGTCTAACGAAAATGGTTAGTCTGAGTCATTTCTGTGATCTTCTGTGGATCTACGATTGGATAGTGTAGATGGTAATGAGCGGTTGCGGGTGTCAGTTGTCCCGGTAAGAATTCGTGCGGATTCAGGGGGGTTTGGTAATTAGTAGAGAGATTGAGGATGAAGAATAAGTAATCGCCGTATACCAGGTGTATATCCATGGATGATAGGCAAGATAAGTTGCTCATATTCATCGAGGATATATGCATAGCTCGGTTGTGTGCAGTGTGAGTTTGGTAGATCTATTCTAATTATATGAAATATTGAAAATGCCATGAAAATGCCATGAAAATGCACATCCCGATTAGACTGAGCTGTTGTGTTCATTGAATGCCCAGACTGACCAGGATGTGTTTTGCGGTGGAGATGTACCGAATACCGGGGCATAACGGGTGGTATTGATGACTGAGGCAAATAGTCACCAAATCTTCTTTTTTTTCTAGACGACCGTCTCACTTCAGCTCTGAATATGGAGAGATAATCGGATGGCTGTATCAGGCTATGATGGCATGTATTTCATGAACTACTAGGTCACGCGATAACCCTGACCTAGATTATCTCCCTGTTTCGTCTTTCAAGCTCGTGAAGATTTGTCGCATCCGCATGTGAAAGTTTCTGGTATGTATTGTCACGTACCATCAATCCACATGTCCGGCTCCTTACGTCATTTTCGAGAGTAGTCGCCGTCCCGATAAGTTCGTGGCTGTCAATGCGTTCTTGAGCGAAGGAAAATAGGAATTTAAATTATAGAGTAGAGATCCTGACAATAGACTCATGAGATACCGATTGTTTTTTACTTCTGAAACATAGGTTGTAGAAGAATCGAAGGGGTGGCAAGGGCGGCTATGGTGGTCCATTAGGCCGAGGATCTCAGAGTCTGGATCCTCTCTTCCGAACCACCACCCGCCTTCCGCCTTTCGGAGCATCGCCCGTGAGAATTGGGTTTGGCTGTCTGGAAATATTACGGAAATGCCTAGGCTGTCAATGTCACTGGGCTCAGCGTTGACCCGGTGAGCCGAGCGTTTACCGACTCTGTGACGCATTCGCAAACTAAATAAGTACCCCGGGTTTCCCTTCTGGCCTGTGATTGAGTTTCTTTTCTATCTTTGCGTCAGCTCTCCCCTCTATTCTTCGTTTTTTTCTTGTCTGGTGGACTTGAATATACATAACTGGATTGACTTAAGTGTCCTTATACCCTTTGATTCCTTCTTATACTATTCTATACCACATTATCCACCATGGGTCTCCACGAAGATGAGGACCGCAAGTATGCGGAGGATGTTCAGGCCGTCAAGAACTGGTGGAGCGACTCACGATGGCGCTTCACTAAGCGGCCTTTTACCGCCGAACAAATTGTCGCGAAGCGTGGCACTCTGACTGTCGACTACCCTTCCGCTGTCCAGGCCAAGAAGCTCTGGAGCACCTTGGAGAACAACTGGCAGGTATGTTATAGCATCCCGCACATTGGTTGAAGAGTGGGAACTAACTCAATTATTCGTCAACTAGACCAAGCAAGCTAGCTACACCTATGGCTGCCTCGAGCCCACAATGATCACCCAGATGTGCCAGTTCCTCGACACCATCTACGTTTCTGGCTGGCAGAGCTCCTCAACTGCTTCGTCCACAGACGAGCCCTCTCCCGATCTGGCTGACTACCCGATGGTGGGTGCTCATTTGAGCGTTATACTGGCAGTTAAAACTGGATGCTAACCAGATCTATAGGACACCGTGCCTCGCAAGGTCAACCAACTGTTCATGGCACAACTCTTCCATGACAGGAAACAGCGCGAGGAGCGCATTACCACCCCCAAGGACCAGCGCTCTAAGGTTGCCAATGTCGACTACCTGCGCCCCATCATTGCCGATGCTGACACCGGTCACGGTGGTCTGACCGCCGTCATGAAGCTCACCAAGCTGTTCGTCGAGCGCGGCGCAGCTGGTATTCACATTGAGGACCAGGCTCCTGGTACCAAGAAGTGCGGCCACATGGCCGGTAAGGTGCTGGTTCCTATCAGCGAGCACATCAACCGTCTGGTTGCTATCCGTGCCCAGGCCGATATCATGGGTGAGTACTTGAGCGTAATATCGTCAGGGCGAGCTTAGAAGCTAATCAGTATCAGGCTCCGATCTTTTGGCCATCGCTCGTACCGACTCCGAGGCTGCCACTTTGATCACCTCTACCATTGACCACCGCGATCACGCATTCATCGTCGGTGCCACCAATCCCAACCTTCAACCCCTGAACGACCTGATGGTCGCCGCCGAGCAGTCCGGCAAGAACGGTGCTCAACTTCAAGCCATCGAGGACCAATGGACCGCCCAGGCTGGCCTCAAGCTTTTCGAGGAAGCTGTCATTGACACCATCAATGCCGGTGTCTCTGGCAACAAGCAAGGCCTGATCGAGCAGTACCTCAAGGCTGCCAAGGGCAAGAACAACACCGAGGCCCGCGCCATTGCCAAGGGCATCACCGGTGTTGATATCTTCTGGAACTGGGACTCTCCCCCGTACACGCGAGGGCTTCTACCGCTACAAGGGCGGCACCCAGTGCGCTGTCAACCGCGCAATTGCCTACGCTCCCTTCGCCGATCTCATCTGGATGGAGAGCAAGCTGCCTGACTACAAGCAGGCTAAGGAGTTCGCTGACGGCGTGCACGCTGTGTGGCCCGAGCAGAAGTAAGTTTTTTTTATCATGCTTAATCTGGATCAGCGTTGAGGAATGCTAACAATCTCTTTTCTTTCAGGCTCGCTTACAACCTGTCGCCCTCGTTCAACTGGAAGAAGGCGATGCCCCGTGAAGAGCAGGAGACCTACATCAAGCGTCTCGGCGAGCTGGGATACTGCTGGCAGTTCATCACCCTCGCCGGTTTGCACACGACCGCGCTCATCTCACACCAGTTCGCCAAGGCTTATGCCAAGAACGGCATGCGTGCCTACGGCGAGCTGGTCCAGGAGCCCGAGATGGAGCAGGGCGTTGATGTTGTCACTCACCAGAAATGGAGTGGTGCCAACTATGTCGACAACCTGCTCAAGATGGTCTCTGGTGGTGTGAGTAGCACTGCTGCCATGGGCAAGGGTGTGACTGAGGACCAGTTCAAAAACTGATTGAGTCAGGATACTCCATAGAGAGACACCCTGTTTTGTATATCTGCTCTGCTTGGGGATTCCCACTCGGGATCATTTTGAGGCGTTTTCGTTCATTTTTTTTGTTTACCCCCTGATGCCTCTTTTTTTTGGATTTTGTTTGCCAACAGCCTTGATTTGATTCCCACTGGCAATGTCTTGCCAGTTACTGTAGCATTTAGTTGAAAATAATGCATGAGTAAATTTGATGCTTTGATGAACCTGGGCACAATAGAATGAATACTCGTAGAATGAATAGAGTTCTAGAATTCCAACATAAGATTACCATTACTCTACGGAGGCCTAATGCCGCCGAGACCCTTTGATTATTCAACGGAAGGTCTGCAGACTAGCCCGAACAAGCAGAAGTGCCCGGCGCCAGTCATCCGTTGGCGGGTCCGTGTGAAGCCGCGGTACCGCGGGTGGAGAAGCCCTTCACTGTCAAACCCCTGTTAAGGAGGAGCTCTATCGTATGACAAGAACCCTGGTGAATAGTAACTGTTTTGTGCAAGAGACAACAAAAATAAAAGGTAAAGATATACCAAAAATGGATATGTAAAAAAAACCAGGTAAGCTGAGTGGGAACAAAAAAGAAGGATCGACTAAGCCAATAAGCCGAACGACGCGGTGGAGAGCAGAGCAAACTGTACCCGGAGAAGGAAGTGCATGTGGATGCGGAGAAGCTTGCACTTAAATACTCCCTCGGTCGCCCTCCCCCCTGACGTAAGGAGTTTGCTTTTTAATTCTCCCCCCCTGCACATCACACACCATGGGCGTACAACTTCCCGAACTGCAGTTTACTCCCCTGGAGGATATCCCCGGGCGCGCCTCCAATGCCCGTAAGGCATTCTTGGAGCACAAGACCCGCGATGTCGAGTTTCGCCTCGTCCAGTTGCGGAAACTCTACTGGGCGTGAGTCCCCCTCTTGACCCCACGATCACTCGCGGAACGGCCTGCAAGGAATCTGAAATAAAGTTCGATGGTTACTGACAATTGCTTTAGCATCAAGGACCATGAGGAGGAGATCGTCGAAGCATGCGCCCAAGATCTACACAAGCCACGCTTTGAGGCCGAGATTGCGGAGAGCGGATGGCTCCTCAACGACATCGTTTTCACCAGTCGCAACCTTCACAAATGGGTCAAGGATGAGAAGGCTCCTGATATCGAACTTTCCTTCAAGTTCATGAACCCCAAGATCAGAAAGGACCCCCTCGGTACTGTGCTAGTTATTGGGTACGTTGAAGATATACACCTTGAAACCACCCTCGGCGAGAGTTCGCATCAAACTGACGAGTGTCATTCCAATCCAGTGCCTTCAACTTCCCCTTCCAACTGACTCTCGGCCCCGTCATTGGCGCCATCGCCGCCGGAAACACCGTTATCATCAAGCCCAGTGAGAATGCGCCCCGCAGTGCTGCTGTCATGCAGAAGATCTGTGAGGCCGCTCTCGACCCCTCCTGCTACCCCGTTATCCAGGGTGGAGTTCCCGAGACCCAGGCTCTGCTGGCCGAGCGATGGGATAAGATTTTCTTCACCGGCGGTGCGACTGTTGGTCGTATCATCGCGAAGGCTGCTGCCCCGCATCTGACCCCCGTTGTTCTCGAGCTTGGTGGTATCAACCCGGCCATTGTCACCAAAAATGCCGACCCGCGCTTGGTGGCACGTCGCATGCTGTGGGGTAAGCTTATGAACGCCGGTCAGGTGTGTACTTCCCAGAACTACCTGCTGGTTGACAAGTCGCTCGTGTCCCGGGTTGTCGAGGAGTTTAAGAAGGCCTATAAGGAGTTCTACCCCAAGGGTGCCAAGGAATCCCCCGATTACTCGCGCATCGTTAATATTGCCGCTTTCCAGCGTCTCAAGGGCATGCTGGATAGCACCAAGGGCAAGATCCTTATGGGAGGTACCATGGACGAGAAGGAGCTCTTCATTGAGCCTACCGTTGTCCTGGTTGAGTCGGTCGACGACTCCCTGTGCACCCAGGAAAGTTTCGGTCCTTTCATTCCTATCCTTCCCGTTGAGAACTTGGATGAGGCCATCAACCTCGCCAACGGCGTCCAGAGCACCCCGCTTGGTCTCTACCCCTTCGGTAACAAGGCCGATGTTGCGAAGAGTAAGTTATTTCAACCCACTTTTTGAACGAGCCTATATTTAACAAATTTCTAGTTTTGAGCTCCACTCGCTCTGGTGGCGTCTCTTGCAACGACGCCGCCCTCCACGTGCCAACCCTGCCCTTCGGTGGTGTTGGTGAGAGTGGCTACGGTGCCTACCGAGGCCGCTCCAGTTTCGATGTTTGGGTGCACCGTCGCCCCATCACATCCAGCCCTGGCTGGCTCGAGGCTATTCTGTCCATTCGTTACCCGCCTTATGCTGGCAAGCTGAGCAAATTCAAGGCGGCCAGCGCCTTGGCCCCCGACTTTGACCGGGACGGCAAGAAGGTTACCCTGGGCTGGTTGCGCTATTTCCTCACTCTTGGTGGAGGAAGCGCGAAGTCTGGTGCCGGTCGTGCTGCAGTCGTTGCTGCCAGTGAGTAATCTCTTTTTCTTTTTTGTTGATCTGCTTCATGATCTATACGCCTACGATCTTCACTTGTGAAAGACCTTCCCTTGCGATCTCTCCTTTTTCCATTCTCACCCCGGATTCATTCTCCCCATTGTTTCTCTCTCGTGAGACGAGGACAAATGAGCCTGGATTCCATTACCTACACCGACCCCCGAGGCCTTGACCAGTCACTGAAAATATTTTAATACCCACAACTTTGTATACCCCTGTTTGATAGTATTGGTTTTGTTTTGTGCCCTCTGGGTTTGACCTCGGACTACATGTCATTTTCCTTTTCTTATACCTATACCCCTTGTTTTGCGCTGCCATATCTGGATTCCAGAAAGAGAAACCACCACATACACAGCCAAGTGCATAATCTTTTAATGAATTTACCTCCTCTGTCTGGTTTTCATATTCATCTACATACACGGTTTTTTGAGTTTGATCACTTTCTAACGCAATAGTAGTTGCCTACTTCATTCTCCAAGTTCTGGAACGCCGCACCTCGAAGCTGTGAGACTGGAAATTGAGCCAAAATTGGGAGGGGAAAGTGGATCTTTTTGAAATCATTTGATTGTGTAACTAGGAATTTAGCCTCAAATTAATTGCTGATCATAAACCCATAAGGCCATCTAAGCGTCTGGCGTTGAATCCACATGCCTCTTTCAACATGATCGCCGCCCCTCCAAATTGAACCAGCCGAATTAAAATTAAATAATAATCAAAAGAGTACATACTCCGTACTCCGAACCATAGATTGCCAATATTTAGCAATACTAGCACATGAAAGAACGTGCACAGTGCACATATATGCCGAATTTATTCCGAGATAGCAAACTTACTCAGAGCCCGAAGTCGAGCACCGTAGAAGTAAAGCAGCCAGATTCCAATGATACCGATAACACTCAATCCACCCAGAAGACTGACACCCTTCGCAACACCCAAGTTGCCAAATAGTGGATGAGCAAAGAGAACACTACCACAGGCGAGCGCACTGCGGAAGAAATCATTCGCCGCAAACAGACTCGCTGCGTACATGGGTAGGTGAGCGGGATGTAAAGGAAGACACACTGCATGACGATGAATACAGTTGCTCCATAGATAGTGATTCCAATCGTGGGAACGATCCAATGAATCGAGGCTCGTGCCGTCCAAGCGAAAATGAATAGGCCAATTGTCGGACCAAACGAGGCCGGGAGCGCGGGTAGAAGACGGTATTCTTGGGGCGGGAAACCGAGGCGCGCAATGCGGGGATTCATCCAGAGATATATGTAGAGACCATAGATGGTGACTGCAAGAATGCAGGAGACGAGAATGCACAGGAAGACGAGACCGACCTCGCCCAGGTTCATACCGTAATCGACGGGGTAGACAAGGGGGAAGACTTCGAAGAAGGAGTAGTAGATACCGTAGATAATGGCAGTGTAGATCTGAACGAAGAGAACGGCCGGATCCTTGATGGTGATTTCCATGGGCTTGACCAGGGCATCGATGGCAATGGCCGAAATACGCATGTTGCGCTGGTCGATCTCTGATTGCGACATCAGGCGGTTGTCGTTGAAGACTTTGCGGAGGCGCTGGGCGCGACGGAGGAGGATCGTTGCGCTGCTGGTCTCGGGGAGGAACAGGAGCATCAGGATGAAGATTGGGGCGGAGGCCCAGATTGACTCGAAGAGAGACCATCGCCAGCCCTTTACTGGCACAGCAAAACCACTAAGCAGGGGTCCGAGGGCAGCTATTATCGTATCGTTAGTATCAGTCAGGATCCAAGGTTGAAGGGGCTTTTTTTTACTTACGTCCACAGTAGGCGGCTGAAACCCAAGCCATCATGGCATAAGGCAGAGAGATGAGGCTGTACATGTCGCCGATGGAAGCGCCCCCTGATGCAAGACATGGAGAGCCGAAGAAACCCTGGAGGAAACGGAGAACCAAGAGACCAGGGAAATTGCCCACAAATGCTGTCGGGATGGAGATGATGACGAAGAGGAACATGGTGACTACATAGACTGGATTGCGTCCAATGATGGGGATTTCACTCAATGGTGAGAAAACCAGTGGGCCAATGCCGTATCCCAAAACGTAGAGAGACAGGCCCAGTGTTCCCACGAGAGAATTTACATTGAATTCTTCCATAACGCCTTGCAGTGATGAGGTATAGATGGCAGAGGTCGTATATACAACGAATGTATATAGACAGATTAGGGTTGTCATCCAGGCACGCTTGGAATTAGACCAGTTATGCGGATTTTCCGCATCATCTGTATAGTACCAATCAACGAGAACGGCTCCATCCTTCGTTCGTGTAGGGACTATAGGCATCGATTTGACTCGTTCGATTTCATCTCTCGCTTCCGCCTCCAGGCGAGCCTCTGTAAACGGTGTGGTGCTGAGGGTCGAAGTGCGACTGAGCACGGCAGTCTCTTCATCGCTGCTAGCACTTGGGCGGGATGGTTGTTCTTCAGGCTTCTCATCTGCCTGCACGTCTGAGCCGTTCATCAATTGAATCCATGGCTCGGGAAGCTTGAAATCGGGCTTCTCTTCTGGATATTGGAAGTATTTGTTATGTGTCAAGAGACGAACCAGTTGCCCAAAGGGGGCATCTCGAATGTAGGCTCCCAGTGTCATTGGATCGATTGCGTCGAGGTGGGTCTGCGGGATGGTTTTGACTGACAAATCCACTCGTGGATGGACTACTATGAATCCTTTCGATCTGATGGGAAGGGAAAGTTATCTGGAAATAGAAAAGCCACTGAGGTATCTTCATAGTCTATATATGTCTGGAAATGATGATTTTTTTCTACATCATTTCGTTATGTTTCTGCGTTAAGCCTCAAATAACGACTAAGTCCGAAACCGAAGAGCTACTAGTATTATAAATCCGTGGCTGAGAGAGCAACTTCTTAGGAAATTTCTTACATATTCCAATGTGACCAATGAGAATCCGTCGATATCCTTCAGATTATGAATCATCGGGGGCTCTTCCCAGGGTTTCCACGACTCTTCCCATCAATGGCGTTTTTTTTCCAGAGCTGTCATTGGCTCCCGATATTATGTTGACGAGAATTTGCCCGACTCCGAGCAGCCCTATAGGATGACAAACGACTAACGTTATGCTCCAGAGGCCGAGAGCGCGAAAGTCCCCCACCAATACGAGCGAACTCTCCATAGATGATTGCCAAATTAGACCCGCTCAGTCTGATGGACGAGTAAAAATTTGATTACAATTTACAGATATTGCCTACTACGTACTAGTACATATCACGTTAGGTAGGACCTTCCTTGGGCGCGATGATGAATCTCATATTTTCTTGGCGGGGGCTTAAACCGGCGATAAGATTGTATGCCCGTCTGAATCTAGATTCACATGCTAAGTTTAAAAGAAGATTATCTTTGAAGGATCTTAGCTTAGCGGAATTTATTTTCCTGGTCTATGATTCTATGACGCTGAGGAATATCCCCTTCGAGTCAAATATGCCAAGACCTCTCGAGGTCCGCATGGAGTGGATTTCTGCGGATGGATATCCTAATCAAAAAGAAAAGAAGAGAATTTCTTGTATAAGCCAGAGTGAGTCAGAATCAACTAGAATGCAGCTGGTATCGTGATAGTCCTGATCCTGGAAGCCCCATTCCACTGTTTCTAGCAGTTGGACAGCGCTCGGATTCTTTCATTCGGACTTTCTAGTTGGTGCTGTTCTTCTTGCAGAACTTTGGCTCTATCAACACCGATAAATAAACGTGGACTGATTTTCTTCATCATTACTTTCCACATTGATGCTATAGACCAAGATATCATGATGGTTTCCTAGCGAGTGCTGCCCAAGTGGGTGTAGTTTATTTGGTCAGTGGATACCAGTGGCTCGAGCTTAAAAAAGCTCGATAATCCCGTATCCGCAAATCTCTTTGGTATTTAGAAAAAATACTTGTTCGAAGCCGGCGTAAATGTGCACAGTATGACTGGGCTTTGACAGATGTTCAAGTTTAAACAATGATTTTTCTTGACTGTGCGACCGGTGCGATGTGATGAGGCAACGTCATTGGGCGCCGAGCCTGAGTTAAGACATGACCACACTAAAATTCAGCCCCCAACTTTAGCACAGAGGAGGCCCCCCTCATTTCTGCAATCGGACATCACCTCAGCCTTATAATATCCGTGTCGTGCCGACTCGCCTAATCATATCTACTTGACGTGAACTAGTTAGCGAGAATGGTGAAGAGAGGTGGCATTCCTTGGCAGTCCAAAGGTTGCTGGACTTGCAAAAAACGCAGAATCAAGGTTGGGGCAAACAAAGGGGTTCAATCATTATCCACGCTAATAGTACTTCTGTAATCAGTGTGACCAGGGGAAGCCAGAATGTAATCGCTGTATGAAACGTGGGATCCAGTGCCTTGGGTACGAAAAACACGGCATTTTTGTCCATTATGCTGCTGCTGCTGGAGCAGATGGGAACCCAGAGTCAAGTGGCTCGGTTGGGCCTATTCCTCGCGCACAATACTTTTCATCTATGAATCCCGTGGCTAGCGGACCAATGTTTCGTCAGCAGTTCATTTCGGAATATCTTCAGGGTTATTTTCCTACAAAAATGGCCGTGTCGGATGTCGATATGTGGCATTATCTACTGCAAGGTTTTGCTGGGCTCCCGAATAAAACCGAAATGCTTGACAAGACTCTTTCGGCGATCACATGTCTTTATATTGGTAAAGCTCGCCAAGATGACCGCATGTCTAAACATGGCCTCCAGCTTTACAATGGCGCGATACGACACATGTCGAGCATGATCTCACGAGATGTTTTCAGTGAGGATATTGTGTATACCGCGGTCCTTTTTCAAGAAATAGAGGTATCGATTTCATCTTCCAATTGCTTAATCAAACCTCGAGCCCTTGCAAAACCAAGCTAACATCGGTCCTATCACCAAGAGTTCTTATTGCCCCAATGGCCTTGGGTCGTGGCTAGCACACATTAATGGCTTGAACACGATTATGAAGCATTATCATCAAAGAACGGTTAACAATCCCCTTATCGGACCTATATATCAAAGGTATCAGAAATTGCGAATGGTACGTTACTTCGCCCACCAAATTACCCTTCGATAATGATGATGCATACTAAGTGACCGGTCTATAGATACAATCATCATCTGCGAGAGGCCTGCTCCCGGATGAATACAAATTCCTGACAGAAACTACCGACGGGACCCCCTTTTGCGAATTACTGGGAATATTTGCAGAACTATCCCCTATTGTGACAAAGCTGCAGTCCATCGATCCATCCGACTATGATGCGTGCCAGGATCTATTACAGCACTGTCTGCGAACGAAGAAACGATTTTTCGTGTGGTATGTAAACCATCGATTGGCAGATGGAATTACCACAGATCCTCCTGGCGAATTTCTCAGTTCAGACACGCCCGACGCTGAACGTTTATTCGGGACTCCGTTAAGCTTCCGGAATTTCGACTACATCTTGCTGCATCTTCATTACTGGGCAGGACCGTGTCTCCTCTACCCATCGATCTTCCATGCCAAGAAACTCGTCTACGCGCATCCTAAAAGTAACATTCCTGCCGATATCCTCAAAAAGGCTCTTGATCCGCTACAAAATGAGGAGTATTTGGAAGCTAGTCAGTGTGCAGATGAGATATGTCGTACCATGCGTTACTGCACGCGAGATAATATGAAGGTTGCAGGATATCACATGACCATGTTCCCCTTGTGCGCGGCTTCTCAGATTTACACCAACTTCGAAAACCTGGAAAAGTTTTCTTGGTGCATCAAGATCGTTGAAAGCGCTGCTTCTCGGGGCCATGAAACTGCAAATTACATAGTAGATATTTCCTGGCATACTTGGCGCATCAAGAACCAGTGTGGACCAATGACTTCCGTAGCGCTTCGAGAAATCGTCCCGGAAAGGGTATCAGGGAAGCGCCACGAAAAGATATTAGATGCGACCGAGGAAGCATAGTCTTGGGGTTTCTCAGGCATTGCAGTCCTGGAGCCCTAGAGCGATTAGATAGTACATGAATGATGACAACCACACTAAGGTTCGACTTCGGTCGTGGAGCTTTGATCGAGTCGAAGGTTGATACTAGTAGTAGTGTTGCTAACTATTAGATGATTTTGAACTTTTATTGCCACTGCCTTCAAGTTCCTAGGGCTTAATCTTTATCACTTGGAGCCGGCTTTCTGTCAATGCAGGGTATGAATAATTGTCATATTTTTGAAATAGATTTTTGAACGCTATGTCGTCACTCATGCAGTCCTTTAACCACCGGAAAGTTATATCCAATTAACATCGCCGCTCAACGCCACGCTTGCTCACACATAGGTACTTGACACCCTTGTATGGTTTCACGCTCTCTCCAAGACCACGACTCCTTCGTTGGTCGATGTTCAGACTGTCCACTTTGATCCCAGAGGGAAGCCATCCTTGCACCGAGAACGAGATCGAGGCGGAGTTCGGCATGAGGCTGGCATTAATTTGAGCCTTTGTCCGGCGAGATGTCAGTCGGGGTGTGCTGGAAGGTGTAAAGAATGTAGGGAGTGAGGAGGAGGATGGTGGGAGGGATTGGGATTGCGGAACTGGGGTGTGAGGTTTGGAGTGGTTCGGAGAAGGTGTTTTGGTTTTCGTCGATGGTTCCATCAAGTCCTCCGCTGGTACATCACCGGCTTCTTCAGCCAATGCGGCGGCAGCCTTGGAAGATTTCTTAGCTGACTTCTTCTTTTTCTTCTTTGGTTTCGAAGGATCCCGAATCTTCCTGGGCTTGCTTGCTGATGGGTCATTGTAAGAAGTAGGGGCTTCATAATAACCCTGAAGAAGATTCGCATTGGCTTCCTCGTCGGCATCTTCGAGACCATCTTCTAACTCCTCATCAACCGAGGGATATCCTGCAACAGTGCAACGCAGAGTTGCAGTGCCTGATATAGAGCCGGCGTCTTTGCCGGTCGGAACTCTCCATTCCAGTAAGCCGGTGCTCGGGGAGTATTGCGCGTCCCCACGACTAGCTTGCATATCTGTGATGTGCCGCACGGATTTGGAAATAGGTACGCTCACAACAAGTTCTTCCAAGACAGGCCCCGTTGAATTTCCACCTCCGCCAAGGAAAGAGGGTGTCGATGCCCCAGAACCACTGCGTGAAGCAGCCGGGCGTGCCGACGAGGTTTGGCCGGGGAAGTTTGTATTCAGAGTCAGTCGAACTTCAAAGTCAGACCCAGTTGACCCTAGTGATTTTCTAATATCAACTATCGCGGGCAGGAAAAGTTTCTCCATGTGGCTTGGTGCTTGATCAAGATCTGGGTCGATTGGGAGAAGGTCAACCTCGTATCCGGCCAAGATGAACCGGCCATCTGGTGGCACGAAGCTAAGTTCCCCTGGCCGTTCCCGCCAACGAGCCAGTCGAACACAGGGATGGAATACTGGCAGTTCGATCTTGCGAGCAAGTGCCTGTTGGCCGCCTGGGGCTGATAATGAAAGGTGCAGGTCTGGCACTCCCGATATCTTCGCGGTGAATGCAATGGTCCCGGAGACCAATGCGGAAAGTAACCGTCCAGACGGTGCCATGGTCACGGAGAGGGATTCAATGATGTCGACATAGAGCTCGTTTGATGTGTGGCGTACGCCAGGTCGTCGCCAGGGAATCGCAGGGCCTTGAGATACGTTCGCCGCTGCCAACGACTGCTTCAGAGGATTGTTCGCTGCCAGATTGGGCGTGCTTGTTCTAAGAAACAATCCCGAAAAGAATCAGTAATGACACCTTGAATTCAAGCCCGAGGTGAACCACTTACCCGGGCACACTGATTCCCCCGAGTAGCTTCCCCATCCACCCGGGTACCTCAACAACTTCTTGCAGGGCATTGAGCTCGGTGTTAGACACTATGCCTGCATCGCACATCTCATGGAGAAGTTGAGCGACCACATCGTAATTGGCCTGGATCTTCGTTGAAAGCAGCGGGGCGCCGACGAAGTCCTCAAGAACATCCACGACGCGGTGCAGAAACTCCAACACCAGAAGAGGTTCCGTATCCACCTCGGTCACAGCCAGAAACAATAGATTCGATTGAACTATTGAAAACAATGTCACGGGGGGGAGTAGTACCGGGGAGATACAGCAAGGATGGCGGGGGCGGCGTGGGCTAGGTAGAGGGGCAGGATAGCCGCGGCGGAGGGCGGGCGCGATCTGTAGACATGTTCGACCAGAGGGGCACTGCGTCGGTTAGTATAGTTCTTCCCGGCTGGGTTTATTGTGTGACATACTTGTGCTCGTCATATACGTAGACGGCATCGATCTCGCCGCTCATGGTGACTGTTGTCTAGACCAAACGGCACTGAAGTGTATAGCTGATGTCAAGCTGTCGATTCTGCCGCGTATCCCCGCCTTATTTACTCTTGGCGTAGCGCGGCGCGCGGAGTTCCTGTGAATTTCTATCGGCTTTCAGGTTCTTGGTTTGGGAAGAAATTATTGCTCCTTTTATCCTAGCTTTTTCTGGAACTTTTGTGACCACTAGAAATGGCTCCACCTGATAATCGCCCCTGGGATGTCCAGCCTAGTGATGCCAAACAAGCGCTTGCGGAGGACAAATATGAAGATTGCATGTCTTGCAAAGTGATGGGTACGTCTCTCTCTGTTGTTCTAGAATATACCAAGAACAAAATCATACGTCATTGGACAAAGTAACTGATACTGTTATATTAGGCTCTGGCGCATTCATCGGCCTCGGTGTCTACAGCTACTATACCGGCATGAACAATCTCCGGCAGCAGGAAAAAATGATCATGCAGAGCGCAACTAAATACAAAATGGGATCACGTCGACTGGGAATCGCCACGATATCTGCTAGTTTGATTGGCGCAGGAGTCTGGCGAGCCTTCAACTGATAATGCCATATCTCGACTCGGGGCATCCCATGCATCGGAATCAATCGCGGACGACAACCACAAAGATGACACCATGATGAGCTGCTTGAGACTCAAAAGTGGAGACGACTGTCTAATTATGAAAGAACAGGAAGAACTTCTCTTTGGAATTGTACTATATGTATTTGTTATACTATCACAAGCTAATGATAGCTGCCATACGGGTATCTCCACCAATCCTCTATATGCTGCATAACGAGATCCAATAGGTATGGCAAGAAGAATGCATCGAAACGGGGGAGAAAAAAAAGAAGACAAGGAAGGAAAGAATGAAATGGAAAAAGAGAAAGGAAAAAAAAACCAAGGAAACCCGGACAATGCAACGAAATCATATGCAAGAATTCTCCTCCCTAGTGTGCACCTGATAAAAGCACCCGGAATCTACCCAACCGTTTCGTGACAATCGGAACGGAATATTCGTCACTTCATCAACGTCGTATAGACCAGTGGGCAGCTTTAATTAAACCGTCCACGTTTCCCCCCACCGAACGTATCTTTCCCATTTGCCATTCCAGACAAGTCGAAAAAATCCGGGAATGTAAATTTTCGCTTTGAGCCCAGAGTAGCAGGCGACTCTCTTGTAGTTGATCGTGCATTCGCTCGGGGTAAATTGTTGTGGCGATGGGATTGGCGGGAGTTGCGTGGCATCAAAGATAAACTGACAGGCGCGCCATCCTGTGAGGGCGGGGTAGAGTTGTCTGACGAGAGGGTGTCCATATCGAGGTCTTGGTATTGTGGGAATGTCGGGCCAGCTGTGAAGGTAAAAACGGCAGGAGAGGTGTTGATGGGCTCCTGAGGCTGGGGTTGGGGTTGAGGCGTAGCGGCTGTGGTTTCCGGGCGAGGGGTTGAAGGAGGTGCGGAGGTGGGCGGCTGTCGGGTGGGAGGTTCAGGTGTCGGAGGTTCTTTGCGGGCAGCTGTGGGCGTTGAGCTTCGATCACGCTTGTCGTTGCTGTCGCCTCGCTCGTCCTCATCACCTGTTTGGGACGATGTTCCATCACACTTCTCGGTTGCCCATTGTCGGACCTTCCACCCCTCACCATCGTCGAGGCCGAGGTTCTCGCGGTCGAGGAAGTGTAGTAGATCCTCTATGGCCTCTTGATACCCCGCTTGTTTCGCTTGTGCTTGTTCACACACTGCATTCTTATAAAGATTTGTGACAGACAAAGCAGCAGCCTTGAAAGACTGGAGGAGTTGCTCTGGAGGCTGAGGGCGGGGTGTGGAGCTCGGCAGGGAGGTGTTCAACGATCTCATAGAATCCATGGTGAGGAAATCGGACGAGAGACGCCGAGAGAAGTTCGTATATCGAGGAAAGGAGCTGTCGTAGCTTTCGTTGTCCTGATCTGACCAAGAGTGTTTGGGCGGCCAGTCAAAGGCTAAATAATTTTTTGCACGAGTATGGGACTCAAACAAAGCCAGACCACGTAGAAACCAAAGAATTATACGTGCCGATCTTGGTGAAAAGAACGTAAGAAAATCCTCCGGATAGCAACAGCAAGTTGGCCCAGAGCGAGTGATCGCAAGAGTGTGAGGTAGTGACTCTTGGGGAACTAGAAGCGAGTACCCGATGGCTGCAGGTGATCCTTCGCCGCTCCTATGCACAGACCGATTTTCTCACTGGCCCGGTAACGTGACCCCACTTCTTTCGATTCTGCCGGATTCTGCCAATATTCACCGATTCCGGGGAAACTCAGCTTCCGAAGTGCCGATGCTGAGCTAATGTTCGAGCCAATCAGCGCGTGACGGGTGCTTGGCCGCGCCTTCCTTATTCTTCGGCGCGACTTCTCGTGCGCTTGCGCTTCTGCTTCTGCTTCTGCTTCCACCAACCTTCAATCGACCCGCCTTCTCATTGCGGTCCTTTACCATCCGCAGTTTTTGATTTCAACACGCGTGTATTATTCTTGTCAACCTCAATTCTTCTACTACCTTGTCCGGTTAAGGTCGTCCAGCTTCGAGGCTTTTTACACGAGCTACACGCTCAAAAGTGAATTCAGACGTATCTCCATCGACACTTTGCGCAAAGCGCGCACGGCATATACTAATATGGCACCCGCCGCCACAGGGTCCCCTTCCCAGGCGGATACCCCTATGACTGACGCAAATGACGACGTTATCCCATCGGTTCCCGTGGACGCTCTAACAGTACGTGCCTCTGTCTTGTCCATCCCACCCTTACTGCAATTGTCGCATTCCCTTTTTGAGTTCCTGTTTGACAGATAATCTCTTCCTTCGTGCCTCTTCTAACCTCATTTTCTCGTCCAGAGTCACCAAGACACCCCAGACTATACGGTAAACCCTCTCAAGACTTCCCTGACTATCGCGCACGCACGAACTAACGACATGGCCCAATAGGATTCCGATACCAACCCCAATACAACAGCGAGTAGCGTTGCGGGCGACGCTCTAGAGGATGGACGAAGACGCCGCTCTGAGGCTACTCAACTTCGAAAGAGCATTCTGGGCAAGAAGCATGGTCGCCTGGATGAGTCGAAGGTATGTCCCGCAGGGCCTTTGGGATCCCCTGGTCCTCGTGAATGAGTATTGATCGCCCATTATCTTAATAGGAGGATGATTCAATTCGCCGATTCCGATACCTTTTGGGCCTAACCGACCTCTTCCGCCACTTCATTGAGACCAACCCGAACCCGCAAATCAAGGAGATCATGGCTGAGATTGACCGACAAAATGCGGAAAAGGAAGCCAAGGCTCGCAAGGGGTCTGCACGTTCAGGTGGCGCAGGTGGCGATAGGCGTCGTAGAACCGAGCAAGAAGAGGACGCCGAACTTCTTCAGGACGAGCGTGGAGGGGGTGAGACAACGACGGTTTTCCGGGAGTCTCCCGCCTTTATTCACGGCCAACTTCGTGATTATCAGATCGCAGGCTTGAATTGGCTTGTCTCGCTGCACGAGAACGGTATTTCCGGTATACTGGCTGATGAAATGGGTCTTGGAAAGACCCTGCAAACCATCTCGTTTTTGGGGTACCTAAGATACGTTTGTAACATCACTGGCCCTCACCTTATCACTGTGCCCAAATCGACCCTAGACAATTGGAAGCGAGAGTTCGCTAGGTGGACACCCGACATCGACGTTTTGGTTCTCCACGGTGACAAGGAGGAGCGGCAACGCATCATTACCGAGCGTTTGGCCGACGAAAGTTTTGACGTTTGCATTACCAGCTACGAAATGATTCTCCGGGAGAAATCAGCTCTAAAGAAGTTGCCATGGGAGTACATCATTATTGATGAGGCTCACCGTATCAAGAACGAGGAGTCATCGCTATCCCAAATCATCCGTCTGTTCAACTCTCGCAATCGTCTTTTGATCACCGGTACCCCTTTGCAAAACAACTTGCATGAATTGTGGGCCCTGCTCAACTTCTTACTCCCTGATGTCTTCGGTGACTCGGAGGCATTTGATCAATGGTTCTCAACCCAGGGTTCTGACCAGGATACTGTCGTCCAACAGCTTCATCGTGTCCTCCGTCCTTTCTTACTGCGACGTGTCAAGAGTGATGTGGAGAAGAGTCTTTTGCCGAAAAAGGAAATGAATCTTTACGTGCCAATGTCCGACATGCAAGTTAAATGGTACCAGAAGATCCTAGAGAAGGACATTGACGCCGTGAACGGTGCGGCAGGCAAGCGCGAATCCAAGACTCGTCTGCTGAACATTGTCATGCAACTGCGGAAGTGCTGCAACCATCCGTATCTCTTTGAGGGAGCCGAGCCTGGCCCGCCGTACACAACCGATGAACATCTTGTGTTTAACTCTGGCAAGATGGCCATCTTGGACAAGCTGCTGAAACGCATGCAGGTTGATGGCAGTCGAGTTCTCATTTTCTCTCAGATGAGTCGTGTTCTGGATATTTTGGAAGATTACTGTGTGTTCCGAGATTTCAACTATTGCCGCATCGATGGGACAACGGCCCACGAGGATCGCATCGCTGCTATTGATGACTACAACAAGCCTGGCTCCGACAAGTTCATTTTCCTACTCACTACTCGAGCAGGTGGCTTGGGTATTAATCTTACCAGTGCCGACATTGTCGTTCTTTTTGACAGTGATTGGAACCCCCAAGCTGATCTTCAGGCCATGGACCGTGCACACCGAATTGGTCAAACCAAGCAGGTCAAGGTCTTCCGTTTCGTTACTGAGAATGCCATTGAAGAAAAGGTTCTTGAACGCGCCGCGCAAAAACTGCGTCTTGATCAGCTCGTCATTCAACAAGGTCGCGCTCAGCAGTCGAACAAGGCTGCTTCAAAAGACGATCTTCTTGGAATGATCCAGCATGGTGCTGCCAATGTATTCAATAACAAGGACGATGATTCTGGCAAGCCAGATGAACTCTCTGATGATATTGAGGCTATCTTGGCGAAGGGTGAGACGAGAACGGCCGAGTTGAACAAGAAGTACGAAAAGCTTGGCATTGATGATCTTCAAAAGTTCAGCTCCGAGAGCGCATACGAATGGAACGGACAGAATTTCACTGCACCAAAGAAAGATATCGGCATGACCTGGATTAACCCAGCCAAGCGTGAACGCAAGGAACAGTTCTACTCAATCGACAAATATTACCGTCAGGCCTTGGCGACCGGTGGCCGGACTGCTGATACGAAGCCCAAAGTACCCCGAGCACCTAAGCAGATCAGCGTACACGATTGGCAATTCTTCCCTCCAGGCCTGCAGGAGTTGCAGGAGAAGGAGACCGCGTATTTCCACAAGGAAATCGGGTATAAGGCTCAGCTCCCTGAAGGTCCAGAGGAAGAGCTAAGTGAACGTGAAGCCGAACGGGATCTGGAGCAACAAGAGATCGATAACGCCCAGCCTCTCACCGAGGAGGAGCAGGCTGAGAAGGCTCAGATGTCCGAAGAAGGATTCTCTCACTGGAATCGTCGTGACTTCCAACAGTTTGTCAACGGATCAGCCAAATTTGGACGCACTGACTACGTTGGCATCGCGACTGAGATCGATAGCAAAGAGCCAGATGAGATTGAAGAATACGCGGAAGTCTTCTGGCGTCGGTATACCGAGATACAGGATTACCCGAAGTACCTTCGCGTCATCGACCAAGGCGAGGAAAAGCTGCGCAAAATGAATCACCAGCGCAAGATGCTCCGCAAGAAGATGGAGATGTACCGCGTGCCTCTGCAACAGCTCAAAATCAACTACACCGTGTCCACAACCAATAAAAAGGTTTATACCGAGGAAGAGGATCGTTTCCTCCTCGTTATGCTTGATAAGTATGGCGTCGAGGGAGATGGACTCTACGAAAAAAATCCGGGATGAGGTTCGCGATTCGCCTCTCTTCCGCTTTGACTGGTTCTTCCTCAGTCGTACCCCGGTGGAGATCGGTCGGCGCTGCACCACCCTTCTAAATACCATCGCAAAGGAGTTCGAGCCCGAGAGTAAGGCCAATGGGGAGGGTAAAGGCCGTGGGCGGGACCGGGATGAAGATGAGGAGAACGATGACGCGGTCCAGCCTGCTAAGAAGCGGGCTAAGAATGGCGCTACAGTGAGTTCGATTCGAGAAACACCAATAGGTTTCGGCATACTAATCTCTCTATAGGCTAAACAAGTCAAACAGACCAAGGCTGCCAGTAAAACTGCCTCGGCTTCAACCTCAAGAGCAGCCAGCGTGTCAACCGCGCCCAAGACAAAGGGTAGAAAGAAATGAAGTGATTTTACGCGTGTCATTTGTCAACAATAGTTTGCTATCCCAGGGAGGTGCTGTGGGTTTGGGTACGGAGATCGGCGTTAGCAGATGATTTTTTACGCCTTGTAATGGCAAATCAAATAGAATTATTTTATCTCATGGTGTTTTGAACCTGCAATGTTCGTCCTGTGCTCCTGCATCGTGAGCGCCGTCCCCGCCCGGCTGATACACTCGGAGCGCCGATCGGCGTCCCCGATGCTACATCGATCGTTAGTGGGCTACTTAACACACGCTAATCCTCCTGTCAGGTGCGATGACGAAAGAAACACTTCACAGCAGAGGGTCCAACTGGTAGGGGTCCTATCATTGGCATATAAATGCTCAAGGCTATCTCCTTGATCAAAGCCACGACCCCAGTGGCCCCATAGAATCATCTATCTGATACTCAGAACCGTGACTGCAAAACCGGATATCTAGGTAGCAACCTTGGAAGCTATATTCAGAATGTCTGTTATTAAGTTCCTCAAATCCAAATTAACTCGTCAGTCTCGCCAATCCACCGCCATGTCAACAAGTAGAATCAGAGTCGTTCCAAACTCCCGCTATCAAAAGTCGGGGACGAAGTCCTATGTTTATGCGATGCGCAAGTATGGCTTCAACCCAACAAAAAAGGGCCCCTATTTTATCGGCACAACGATGCAACAAACTGGTCGGCAGTTCACCAACAAGCCGGTCGGCGGTCGGGCTCACGTCCGCCAGGTCCTACAGAAAAAGAGTGCCGATGACCAAGTCGGCCAGGTTGGTGCTGATGACGTACAGAATGATGCTATGTACTTGGCAGAGGTTGAAATAGGTACACCAGCACAGAAATTGAATCTGGATTTTGATACGGGATCTGCAGATCTTTGGGTGAGCTTGATTCTGAAATATATATGCGATTGAAGAGGTGCCGGGCCTGTTTTGAAACTGACAAATGTGCAAGGTATGGTCGACAAAACTGCCATCAGTCACATTGGCCCAGTATAACAATCACACAGTTTTTGATCCGAGCAAGTCTAGCTCCTTCAAGAATAAGGATGGTTCAACATGGAGAATCTCTTACGGCGACGGGTCCTCAGCGGCTGGAACAGTGGGCAACGACGATTTGAACATCGGCGGCGTGATAGTGAATGGCCAGGCCATTGAGCTAGCAGACACACTGTCGGCACAGTTTGCGAGCGGTGCAGGTGATGGTCTTCTAGGTCTTGCATTCAGCAACATCAATACAGTGCAACCGAAGGCAGTGGCTACGCCCGTGGACAACATGATCACCCAGTCAGATATTCCGAAGTCTAGTGCACTCTTCACAGCAAAACTGGGCTCGTGGCGTGATGCAGATGAACCAGATAAAGGGGAGTCATTCTACACATTTGGTTTTATTGATCAGGATACCGTGAAAGAGGCTGGCGAAGATATCCACTACACGCCTGTTGATAAGAGCCAAGGCTTCTGGATGTTCGACTCGGCTTCAGCCACAGTCAATGGTAAGTCTATTTCTCGATCTGGCAACAAGGCTATCGCAGATACTGGTACGACTCTGGCCTTGGTGGATGATGAAACTTGCAAGGCTATCTATGATGCTATCGAAGGGGCCATCTACGATCAGGATAGCCAGGGGTATATCTACCCGGCTGATACCCCAGCTGATAAACTGCCTGCGATATCGTTCGCTGTTGGTGACAAGCAGTTTGTTGTGCAGAAAGAGGATTTGGGGTTTGCCCAGGCAAAGTCTGGCTATGTTTACGGTGGCATTCAAAGCCGTGGCTCGATGACGATGGACATACTCGGTGATACTTTTCTAAAGGCAATTTATGCAGTAGGTCACTCGCGATTTCTTTTCACGACTTCCAAGTTACGATTTATTGATTCAAACTCGCTATAGGTGTTTGATGCGGGCAATCTTCGATTCGGCGCAGTGCAGAGAAAAGAGCTCCACCAAAATCTTTCTCCTCCGCCTGAGTGAACCGGATAAGGAGTCCATGAGTTCTCATACATGAGTGAATTTGTTGATGGTTTGTTATCTTGCGGCAACCATCACTCGGGATTTAGTGTACGGGACGGGGTATAGTGTGATTGAGTGGTATAGCACTGTTTTCTATTGTAGATAATAATTGGAGCTTCTAAATTATGACATATCAATGACCACCTTCTGTGCTGTCTTGCGATATCCATTTTCTATCGCATCATCCAACTTCAGCGTCTCAAAGTCCCCCTCGGCTTGTGCTTGTAAGCTTCCTTGAACAATCCAACTGTTTACAGACCGCAGGTAATCGGCCGTTTCCTCGATCGTACGAGCAGCCGAGTTGCATCCAAGCATCGTAATCTCTTTTGCGATATGCTTGAAAGATATCGAATGTAATCTTCTTGTTGGAATGACCCCTAGGGGCTGCAATCCATGCATAGCGTCCATTCATAGCTAACTGCTCCAGAGCAGCTTCCATTAATTTCAAATCACCAACTGTGTCGATGACAACATCCACGCCCTTTCCAGCTGTGATTGCAGATACTCCCTCCGTGAGCATTGTTTCTGGAGTTTCCGAGCCGATGACTATGTCATGTTTTGAATCTGCTCGCCTCGCGGCTGTCAAAACTTGCTTGCATCCGATTGCCCGGGCCATCTGTGAGGCCGCTGATCCCACAGCTCCATTTGCCCCAAGAACGAGAACCACATCGTTTTTGGTAACCTGGGCTTTGCTAATACAGATGTATGCGGTTGTGAATGGAACACCCACTGTTGCAGCCTGTAGGGATGATATAGTTGACGGTCTCTCTACAAGCGCATCTTGCGGAATCAAGCAGTATTGCGCATGTGTTCCATCCATGTCAAAGCCGAGAGTCGAGCCACTAGTTCCGTACACACTCTTTCCGATCCACGAGCTCGATGCACCTGACTTGTCGGCAACATCCAAAACAACGCCAGAATAATCACGACCGGGAATGCGAGGGTAAGTGGTGTATGGAAAGAAACCTTGTGCATTCAGTCTATCCGATGGTTGAATGGAGGTGTAGACGACGCGGACAAGGGCATAGCCGGGCTTCAACTGCGGCATCGATTTGAAGGCTGTTGTGAGTTCTGGTGGTGAGCTCGCGGAATCCCTTGCAAGGTGCAGTGCTCTCATCTTCAAGTTTGCAGGTGCCATCTGGATGAGGTTTCGATGGGCGCGATTGTGATTAAGTTCAGGTCGCCTGGTGTAGAGATGTTAGGTGATCAATTAACTGGGGGCTGATATGGTCGGGCGCCGGTTTTATATGATGATTCTTTCGATTCCAACTGATCTTTTTCGTCTGAACCCACAATAGAAGCAAGCCTTTGGATTCATGTCATACGCACATTGCAAGAAAGTGTGCCATGCTGGGCCAAGTCATGCGAAACCATGCACTCGGCACTTGGCCGCTCCGGAAATTGCGACCGGGCCGTGCGGACCGCGCGGCCCACGCGGCCGGCTTAGGGTTATCAATCAGTTCGGAGAATAGAGTAGCGCCGGCCGGAACAAGATCTTCAGGGTGATGCAAGTAGTGGAGCTTGGCCTGATTGAATTATTATTTCAGATTGTTTCATGTCTCCCGCGTGATAATAAGTGTTTGTTTTCATGCACTGAAGCCAGTCAGTTCATAATGGCCACAAGCGCCTCCAGCATTGAAGAGCGAACGAATATGAGCCACGATCTAGGTAAGAAACCCATTGAATGCTCATCACGCTTGAATTGTTCTAAGTCGCCTTGAAAATTTGCAGTGGAAAGCACGTCCAGCGACACGGTGGCTGTCAAAGACTCCATGACCCCGGGCTCACAGACAGATGACCCTGAAGCAAAAATCGACCACCATGCTTTTGCCGGTCTACCTCAGAATCGATTTCACGAGGCAGCCTTCGTCTTTGTTGTTTGCTGCGCCCAGCTTATGACGCAGGCTGGCTTGTCACTCTCGATTGCACCTCTCCAAATTATCAGTGACAGCTTCAACACCACGCCGAAAGACCTCTCGTGGGCATCTGCTGGGTATAGCTTGACTGTTGGAACCTTCATTTTCGTTTCTGGCAGACTTGGTGATGTTTATGGTCACCGGCTCTTATTCATTGTCGGCTTCTTATGGTTTGGACTCTGGTCTATCGTAGGAGGATTCTCTGTATGGACCAATCCGAGATTTTTCGACTGTTGCCGTGCATTTCAAGGCATTGGACCGGCCCTACTGCTACCGAACGCCGTTGCAATCTTTGGAAGGTCATACCCCCCCTGGGCGCCGCAAGGGAATGGTGTTTTGTCTTTTCGGTGCCGTCGCCCCGGGCGGATTTACCCTCGGCGCGACATTTTCTTCTCTGCTCGCGGAGCGAGTTTGGTGGCCATGGGGTTACTGGATATTCGGGATCGCCTGTTTCATATTTGCACTCCTTGGGTATTTTTCGATACCTTATGTACCGCAGCAGAAGCCTCGTGAAGATCTTTCGGTATTTCAGCGGCTTGACACATATGGTGCTATTACAGGTGTGTCGGGCCTCATCCTGATCAATTTTGCTTGGAACCAAGCCTCGCTAGTTGGCTGGGGGGTCCCATACACCTATGTGATGTTGATTGTTGGCATTCTGATCATGGCTCTGTTTCTCTTCGTTGAAAGTAAGGCTGCGTATCCACTTCTACCTCGATCGGTACTTGTGGGCGAGGCTGGCTGGGTCCTGGGATGCATTGCTGCCGGATGGTCAAGCTTTGGCGTTGTGGTATTCTATTACTATAACATTCTTGAGGAGTTGGAGGGCAATAGTGGTTTGCTTGTGACTGCTAAATGGGCCGGCGCCTCTCTATCGGGGGCGTGTGCTGCTGTGATCACGGGTCTCCTGCTTGGACGTATTTCAGCAAGCATAATCATGTTCGTTGCGATGCTAGCCTTTTCAGCAGGCCAAGCATTGCTAGCGTCAATGCCGATCGGCCAGGTATACTGGGCAAATGCCTTTGTGATTATGCTGATCACGCCATGGGGAATGTAAGTAGCCTTGACGATCTTTCTCCAACCTTACACCGCTGACAATGACGCAGGGACATGTCTTTTCCATCTGGAATTGTCATCCTGAGCAATGCGATGCCGCAACAAGACCAGGGTGTTGCGGGGTCGCTTGTGAATACCGTCGTTAATTACTCCATTTCAATGGGCCTGGGGTTTGCAGGCGTAGTTGAATATTATGTTGGCAATGATGGAGAAAATGTTCTTGTGGGTTACCGAGCCGCCTCATACATGGGTGTTGGCCTGGCTGGTCTCGGTACAATCATCGCCACGTGTTTCATGCTAGTGACATGGCGAGACTCCAGGAAAGCTTCATCCTGAGACATAATTGAAATATGTCACTGGTATGTGCTTTATCACGAGGGGAGGTTAAAGTGGGTGGCCCATAGATAGTCCAAGTCAAACGGCAGCTGGCCTGCAAGTAGAGGACTCAGCGATACCATATCTTGAGTTAATTGATCCGCCTTTTGAGTACTGGTAGCAGCTTCTGGTGTCTCTGTTCCTACAATGCGTTGAAGTACTTCAACACCCTTTCGTTTCTTATTCAGTGAGGCATGGACGAGTTGGCGAGCCGTTGAAAGAGCTTCCTTTGCCAAGTGGGTGTCCAGATGGCCCACAATAAATTCCAGAGTGTCCATGGCATCCACAAGTTTTTCATAGCTCGAAGGCGTATCCATAACTATCAGAGCGCATACAAACTGGAAGACTGATCCAACGACATTCCACCAAGGTTGATTTTGGCTGACCAATTTTCTTGCTGCAGGTAAGGCTACCACACCGGCAGAAATGATTTTTTCATTGTGGCCATGGTGATATTTGGCGTCCAAAACACGAAGTCGACGGTAAATACCCAGAACAAGGTCTGTCCGTAAGAGTACAAGAAAATCGTGATCGACAGTATTTTCGGCAATCTTTTCCAGGGCCGAGAACAGCTCTTGGGCCAGCACTGCGGTATCTTCTTTGTGCTGGTGTGTAGGTAATGCAGCAACAAGACGACATAGCTGTGGTGTCAAGTCTGTCGCACGACTTTTGTAATCAGCATATTCAAGCACCCGTCGATTTATTGCTAAGATAGATCGTCCATACTCGAAAGCGATGAGAACATGAAGACAATTTGCTACTTGGGCAATGCGATTTATGGTATCAAGGGCTGGCGGAGTCGGTGAATCATTTGAATCATTCCGCCCAGCTTGGATGACAGATTCTGGTGCATGATGAAGGCCAGTTGCTTCAACGAGATGCATGATCGTACAGCTGGAAAGCCAAGTCACGTGTGGTCGCCCTGTACAACGAAGGTACAAAGTCCGCAGAATCCAGGCCGCAATATGCTCGAGAGAAGGAAACCGGCTGAGATCAGAGTCCTCTATAATATTTTTAGCGTGCAAAGTGAGCCACATCTCCGTCCCTTGGTCTATTCGCTCTTTGAACAGAGATGCTAAGGCAAAGACTCCACAGATCATGGCCTCGAAAATCAGGTCTTGCGGCTGCCCATGCCAGTGCATCTCGCATCGGGTGTAAAAGGAATCCATGTCGAGAAACCCAAAAATAGGATTGACTATAGCGGAGTATACCTCAATCAAGCTTCTTGCAGTATTCCATATAATGCGCTCTGTGAGCTCCGAATGCGCCGCACAAGGCGGCTCTTTCCGGATGCCAGTGTGATACGCAAATGAATGCAGACGTGGAAGTTTTGTTGCTTGGAGCTCTAATCCGACGTAAAGAGGAAACGCAATCGATGAATATCTTCCCACGTAGCGAGCTTTGGAGGGTCCGAGCACACCAGGGAGGATAGAGGGACCACCGTCTTGCTTAGAGGTATCTGTTGAGTGATCCACACGGGAAAATTTCGGGGCCCGCTGGTGCGATAATTGATTTGGCGAACTTGCACGTTTCTGAGTTGCAATCTGAAAGGTTTCATCATATTCACACTCGTAGTCGTATCCTTGGCAAACATTGCAAGGTAGTTTACCGTCACATTTTCTCTTGCGGCGTCGACATGGCAGGCAAGCTTGCCTCGAGCGTTGTCGTGCAGGGCCAGGGGGCAATGTCGAGTCGATCCGTGAGGAGTCAGGTGCAGAGTTAGCTGACATCACAGAATGGTGAACTCCGATGATCTCGATGAAGTTGGTAAAAGTGAAGATTAATGGCGCACGGCCTACAAATGACACCAAGCCACGTGACCGTATTTATTGAAATCTGAGGCGGTGTTCCTTTTCCATTTAAGACTTACCCAGGGCCACTTTTTGTTCTCTAAATAAATAGAGACGTTTCTCGTGGTATCAGAGCAGATAAGTTATTATAATATGGTTACGCTACACTTCTGGGCCAAATTTCCAGGTTTTGCGGATTACCAGTCCTCTGATATATATACCCGCTGGCGAAATGACACCTTTGTCGATACAGTACTTCTATTACTAGTATTGCCACTACTGTTATCAAATACATGGGCAATAAACAAATGGTTATTAATTTATACATAGAATCAAGTTGTTTCCAAGCATAATTGAGGATATTTAAATCGTTCTCTTAGAATCATGGACTTCGAGTACTAGCCGATCATACTACTACTTGTCTCTAGATGGTTACTAGTATTACTAGGACTCCCTCCAAAAAAGACTGCATTATGAGAATTACCAGTAATCTACCAAGCGTCTTTATTTTCCAATATGGTTGTCCAACATGGCGATCAGGTTGTTCCCGGCCGTCTCTTCAGTGACTCTCATCATGATATGTTGATCGGGCCGAACGAACACCCCTGACTTGTTCAGCTCTGTAGAAAACCAGCCCTGTCTCACTATGTTGAAGTCTGTACCAAGGCGCCAGAAATTGAAAGCAACGCCTTTTCCTCGACAGTACTCTTGAATATGGGTAATGTGAGAGACTACCCGGATATCCTCGTTGCCCAGAATGAGAGTGAATGCATCCGGTGCGCAGAGATCTAGGGTACTCCATTGGCATTCCCGGATCTGTTATTTGTTCAACTCAGTCACATAGGATACATCAACGGGCGTATATGGCGGCGACGGGCATGCAGCTTGTCTCACTCGAGAACGATGACCTGGGAAAGAAATCCAAGCGTGAGGGAGACGAGCTCCGGTTATAAACTTGGGCGAATAGTGCGAGGCATATGGAGGCGGCTTGCTAGCTCCATAAACGTAGCCAATATGCAGCTCCAGCTAATAGCCCAGAAGTTCGGCCCATTAGAATGACGTACCTTAAAATCGGACGAGATATGGGTAACTTTACTTACATCGTCAAAATGCTCCCTTTGCCCTTCAATTCCTTCTTCCACCTTTGACCGTTGCACTAGGTCTTCCAATGCCGCAATCATGTTGCGGCGTTTCTGGTCGGCATCATCAGAACCCAATAAATTTTGTGTGCACACACAAACTGACTTATCTATCAATTTCACAGACGCACAATCCTCCCTCCTTATCTGGGCTTCCACTGAGGCCTGGATTATCATCATCGTGGGCTGCGTTCCGCCCATTCGCCCCTTGATGGAACGCATTCTCCAACACATCGGTCTCACCAGCAAGAAGACGTCAACTCCTTACTACGACCAGAACCATCAAGCCTACGCTACATATGGAACCAATAGATCGCACGTCGCAGCCTACTCAAACCATAAATCAATCTCATATAAAGACCACAAGCCGCGGGGGCGAGAGGAGGAAGACTTGGCTTGGGTGGAACACACGAATGCTCGGGATTCCAATGATAGTAAAGGGCATATAATCGGCGATACAAACATTATGATCACTACAGAGTTTGGGACGCAATTTGAGGAGCGCAATGCTCACCATGCTGGGTCATCAGCCACCAGCCAGAATTTGGGTGAGGGTAGGATTGGAGATTCTCACACTGATATACAAAAGGTGGTTTGATGGACCTTATTACAATGCGCTCATGTCTATACTTATAATATAACACCATTGATCTACTGCAAAGCAAGAGTCACGACAATAACCGATTTATTCTAAATGTATTCAGATTATTTTGAAAGAGACTAGTATCAATGTTGATGCACTGGCGCTTTTTGAGGCGAGGGCACATGGACGACGGGTTCGGAGGAGGAGGGGGGCGATTTCATGGACACAGGGGAACATCGCATGCAAATAAAGAATGCCACACTATCATTTGACTGGGGAATAAAACGAACAATAGAAAAAGGAACGATAAAGGCAGTAAAATGGAAAATTCTCAAGATCTCAATGTCTGTCTTTATGTTTCTGTTTGGCCCTCTATTCGGTCGAGTCGCTCCAAATAGACTCGGATGCTAGTTATGAACGCGAAAACGACATACATGTTGTGTTGGTGCAAAATGTTGTATTCAAATTAGATTCATGAATTGATAATATTAAAGGTCCCCCCACTTGATGATCGGCTTGATCACTTTGCCCTTGTGTAGATCTTCCAATGCTTGTTCCAAAGAGTCTGAATCATAAATCTTGGCCAGTTTGTCGACCGGGAACTTGCCCTGCTTATACCAGTCGATTAATTGGGGGATAAGCTATGCACGCGTTAGAAATGGTATAGGGTATAACTGCGGGTATTATTTTGATAAATACCTTGGCTGGATTTGAAGAGCCCTCAATGGCGCCCACGATGCGTTTGCAGTTAATCATAAACTCTAGTGGATCGATGCTAAGCGATGACCCACCAGGGCAACACCCACGATGGCAAGAATACCCTCATGGTCCAGCGACTTTACAGCCGATTCAAGCAGAGGAACAACACCGGTTGTATCAAGAATCTGATCAACACCATCTGGGAATAGATCACGAAGCCCTTCGTTGAGAGATGACACGCTTTTGGTGTTCAGAGTATGTGAAGCACCCAGAGACTTGGCAAGTTCAAGTTTTGCATTAACAATATCGACCGCAATAACATTCTCGACGCCTTGAGCCCTTGCAGCTAACAATGCAGCAAGGCCGACCGCTCCCATTCCCAGAATCGCAAACCGGGATGTTGGCTTTGGTTTAAGGATATTGATAACGGTACCAGCACCAGTGAGATAGCCACAGCCCAGAGGAGCAAGCAAAGCCAAGTCGGCTTCAGTGACACTGGAAGAGGCCTTTACCACAGATGTATCCGGTACGATTGCCAATTTGCTCATTGAAGACTGACCAAAGAATTGACCTCGGAGGGGTTGGCCGCTGGCAGATTTGATGGGCGAGTCAACAGCGGATATGCCTCGTACACCACCGAAGTTGATTGCAGTCATATTGCGACAGAACCCATTGCGATCTTCATCGCAGGCAGAGCAACTGTTGCACGAGGTAAAGCTCAGGAGAACCAGATCACCTTCACTCAAGGTCTTGTCTTTTACGGCACTGCCGATGCGGCGTACAATACCGGCGCCTTCATGGCCAAGCACAGCAGGGTAGTCACCGACAGGAATAGCGCCCTGTTGAACAACAATATCCTATAACCCAGGCACATATCTTAGTCTTGAAACCCATGATGTCATTCTGCATGTTTGGGAGATCTTACAGTATGGCAGAGGCCCGTGTACTTCATCTCGACCAGGACCTCATTGCTCCGCACTTCATCCAAAACCACATCGCGAAGAACAAATGGCGAGCCTGGTGCGTCAACCACAAAGGCCTTTGTGGGAATCTGTGTCTCGGGAATCATGGTGGGGGTTCTGCCCAGGTAATCCGATATCGTGTGGGGGTGGTAAGAATATGATTTGACGGCTTCAATTTAAACAGCCGGTCTCTAGTAATAAGTAAAAAATCAAGCAGAGAGAGGCTAGGAAGAGATCTCATCTTTTATAGACTTAGATTGAGATCGGACGACTGTCGATCGTATTGAAACCTCGGAGAACTATTTGCGGGTCCTTCCCCGCAGAACCAGATAAATCGAGGCTATTCCCCACATCCCCGCGACTTCGGCGATGAAAATCGGCACGTAGATGCCCCGGGAGAAAGGATGGTCGGGCCGCTGCCGCGAAATTCCGCGCCAGCCTGCAATCTTTCGTTATGAGCTAGGGGGGGATAGACTTTGCCTCAATTTTAAGCTCCCAGTCGGGTTATAAGAAGGTAGATATAACTATTAAATGCCGTCTTCAAAGCCGTGTTTACGATTAAACTTCACATATTCAAATGACGCGATGCAAAATTATCGAGAAAAACTTCATATTAAATATTGTACAGCGAGGTATCTTATGCAGATGCAAAAATATAGTTACAGTCTAGTCAAGCTCATTGTCGCATTAAGACTTGTCTTTTCTCTTCTTGGCCAATTCGGATACTGCTAGTGGGGTTCGCAAGAACATCTCCATGAGTAGAGCTGCAGCCACACTGACATTCAGACTGTCAATTCGGGCGGGGTCGGATTGTGCACCCAGCTCGATACTGTGACGAGCACCGGGAATACTAACGATCGCATCCGCATGGGATTTGATATGCGAACTCAACCCTGATCCCTCACTCCCCATCATAAGAACACTGGGTGCTTGAGAGGTAGGAAGAGCACCAGCTTCTGTTTGACCTGCGCCTGAATGACGACTGAGATACTCAGCACCGGGACCGGGTGCATCAGCCGCATAAAAGCGCCACCCGTTGTCTTTGGACCGTTGGATGAAATCGACCTCATTTTTGACATGAAGAAGGGTCATGTTCTCGGCAGCGCCAGCAGATGCCTTGATGGTCACTGGAGACAAAGGAGCGCAGTTTCGGCCAGCGAAGACTATCGCATCAATTCCCAGAAAGTAAGCCGATCGGATGATGGCACCCATATTTCCCGGATCAACTACACCATCTAGAAGCAAAGCGACAGGGTATCGCTCACTCGGCCGACCTTGCACCGGGGGCGCTTGGATGATGGGAATACGATCACCCGTGCCATTGACAGCAGCTTCCTCCCGCGATTGGGGAGCCAGCTCAACTCGGAAGTGATCCTCAGTCGCCGAGGGGACTGGCTGGAAACCGCGTACCGGAAGTTTTGGCAACGGGGATGCCTCCAGCACACAGCCGTTATGAGGCCGACCGGCACTCATTTTGTCAAGGAGCCGATCCCAGCCTGCAAATGCAAGCTTGGCTTCAACATTTTTGGAAAGAGCAAGTTTGCGGAGAGCCATCTTGGTCGGACTCAGGTCTTCACCGGCAGCCTGGTAAATGTAGAGCTTGTATAGCTGACGTCGACTACAGCGAAGCGCCGCCTCGACAGCGCCCGTGCCGTAGATGAATTCGGATGCCGGTGTAGTGTAAGGGATCGAGTCGGGAACTTTGACATTTTCCTTTACTCGCTGCGGCATACCCTCTGTAGCTCGGTGGGCACGAGACTTGGTTGCAGCCTTGGGCCTCTCTGACTGTTGGGGCATTCCTCGTTCAGTTCCGGGGCGCGATTCTCTTGTATCTCTCTGTCCGCGAGGTCGGTGATCTTGGGTTGAGCGTTCAAAGCTGCCGGTACGGATGAATTTGTCTTGGTCAAAGTCGTTGCCGTGCGATTTTCTGTTGTATCGGGAGCTGGAGATGCTATCGATCTTCCCATTTTTCATTGTATCGCGTGGTTTTCTCTCATTCTGGAACCGGGGGGATAAATCACGGCCGGTACGGCTTCCTCGCGGCCCATCATTTCGTAAACCATCATTTCGTGGTCGGCGATAAGTGTCGTTGCTGTCCAATTCTCTGTCTCTAGCCCATGAATTCCTCGGAGGCTGCGATCGGCGGATGCCACGTCCAATGGCAGAATTCAAAGACGCAAATCGGACGGACATTCCATTCTGCGGAGTGAGGCATACAGATGGCCGGGGCAACAAGCCTGTACGGCAAAATCTTGACGCCATTACCAAGAGGATAAGAATGAGAAGTGGTGAGAGACTACCTTTCTCACGCTGGTAAATTTACCAGATCTCGATAAGATAGGAACAATATTTATCCGGGGGCCGCATGGGAAGCCGCGAACTGGGCGCGTCTTCCCATCGCATCGCGTTTTCGACTGGACATTTCCTATCGAGCCGATATGAACTTCGTTTGATCCTAGGATGTTTGCTCGTTTGTATTGTCATGATGTGCCCTCCCTCGCTCCCTGATTTGATTCCTCCCGAACTTTGCGCAGCCTCCACCCTCCTTGTGGCATTTGATCCATCCGAAACTATCACTTCTCAAACCTAACTTCTCAATTTCACTTTATTACACACTTTTTTATTCCCTATGATACACTGGACACAGTACTCAATCCCGCTGTACCTCATGTCTGATAGTGAGCTCACCATAATAGTCATTCGCTGATCAAGAAGCAACGAATACTTCCAATCCAATTCACCTACACAATCACCTATGTCTCAAATCGGCGACCACGCCTCTCCCGGCTCGGAGGACCCTGATGCCGTGGTTGCCCAGATCATGAATCAATTCGAGAGCTCAGTCTTTCAGCCCGCGCCCGCCCCCCCAGACCGAGCAACCTATCGAGACCCCCCAGCTCGAAGTACCCACGCTGTCCACCGCAGTTGGAGTTGCTCTTCCTACAATTGAAAACGCACACGAATACGAGTACCTACCTGGTCATTTTGTGATCCGTCGAATCCTCCGGCTGGACGCGGAGGATCCAAAGAAGCCATCCTACACTGTTCGCCTGCAGAGCGGCGAACGTGCAACAGTAAGATATTCTTCTTCCAGCGAACCTTTCCGATAGGGTAGTACCTCTAATATCGACATTTCGTCGCTGCTCTAGATGCCTCACGACAGACTCATGCAATTGGAGAACAGCGTCTCAGCCCTCGACAACTTCAACCCCGATTCCGATTCCGATGATGAGTTGGTGGTGGTTGGAAACCGCTCTATCTCGCCCCAACATCATTTTGGCGGGGATGGAGCATCGGATAGCTCAAGCGTGGGCGGCTCTGGACGCAGAAGGACTCGGAACAAACGACGTCGTACCACTGCGGCTGTAGGCCAGTATGCTTCGTTTTACCGATTTGAGGACAGCGACCAAAGCAGCAATGAGGATGACGAGCCAGGTCGATCAAGTCGATCACATACATATGCAAGGCGCAGGCTTCGGCGGGGCAGCCGAAAGTCAGACCAGATGTCCACGACTCCTTCGGAAGGCTACTCGACCTCCAATCCCAACAGGCGTAAATCATCTCGGACTAGGAGGAGTTTGCGTGGGAATCTGCGAGAGCGATTTGAAGATGACGTTTCTGAGACGGAGAGCATTCGCCCAAGACAGCAGAAATATTCTGGTGCTAGAGAAGCATTCCAAGAGATTCCGCGCGATGATGATTTCAGAATCCGACACTTTGCGTGCTGCGCTACGTGCAGTATCTATGAAGACGACCCAGAGAAGGGAGATCTTGTTTTTTGTCAAGGTTGCAGCTCATCATACCATCAAGTTTGTCTGGGGCCCCGAACCACCCGGGATCATCTCGTCACCAAGATTGACGAGGGCAACTTTATCCTGCAGTGTCGCAGCTGTCTGGGAATTGCCAACGAAAAGCATGATGTTGCTCCACACCTAGGGTTCTGCGCAATTTGCAAGGAAAAAGGACCCATGTCAGAGCCACTCAGACAGCGTTTGACATCAAAAGAAGAACAGCAGCTTCGTGTCGCCAATGGAGGCACAGACCCCATCACGCGAGTCGATATGGCTCAGGTGAACAACATCGACAATGTTCTTTTCAGATGTGCTAGCTGCCAGCGGGCTTTCCACTCAAAACACCTCTCCTCGGTGAAAGGGGATGATGACGCGGAAGTGTTTGCAGACCATATCAAGCACTGGCAATGCAGTGATTGCTCCGAGGCCCTTGGCGAAATTGATGAGCTTGTTGCATGGCGTCCCGTTGATGCACAGCTCAAGAATTCAGCAGGCCTCATCGGCGAGGCGGTTCCAGAGATCGAGAAGGAATATCTCATCAAGTGGAAACAAAAGTCCTACTTCCGCACTAGGTGGATGCGAGGAGATTGGGTTTGGGGTTTTGGCAGTCCTGCCATGCGCCGAGCGTTCTACAATTCACCCAAGTCTGACAAACCGATCTGGACGACCGAGAAAGCGATTCCCGAGGAAAACTTGCGAGTCGACATCGTGTTTGATGTGACGTACCGAGAAGGTACCAAGACAGAAGATGAAATGGACCCGGAGATGGTCGAATCAGCCTTTGTGAAATACAAGGGATTGAACTATGAATCTTCTGTGGTAGAATCGCCTCCCGATCCGCTTGATAATGACCGATGGGATGATTTCAAAGTTGCTTTCGGCGACTGGCTCTTGCGTGACATAATCCAACCTCCCAACCGAAGCGTTTTGAAGGCCCATTTATCGAAAAGTCGGCAACAAAATTTTAAGCAAGACCTGGCCTTACGGGTCCAGCCCGAACTCCTGACTGGCGGCGAACTCATGGAATACCAAATGGATGGTATCAACTGGCTTTACTACAAGTTTCTCAGAAAAGAGAATGCTGTCTTAGCTGATGATATGGGTCTTGGTAAAACTGTCCAAGTTATTGGCCTTTTCGCAACCCTCATTCAAAGACATCAATGTTGGCCGTTTCTGGTGGTGGTACCCAACTCGACTGTTGCGAACTGGCGACGCGAGATCAAAATGTGGACGCCGCATGTTCGGGTAACCACATACTTCGGCTCGGCATTTTCACGTCAAACGGCTAAAGACTACGAAATGTTTCCCCAAGGGGGGCGTGATCTCCGGTCGCATGTCGTCATTGCGTCATATGAGAGTATGGTCGACGACGATGCCAAGGAAAGAGTTCTGAAAAAGGTGCACTGGGCAGGTCTGGTTGTCGACGAAGGACAGCGTCTCAAAAATGACAAATCTCAACTTTACGAATGTCTTCGTCGCATGAAGTTCGACTTTAAGGCCATTCTTACTGGCACGCCTCTTCAAAATAACATTCGAGAGCTGTTCAATCTGCTTCAATTCATCAATCCCGACCTTGATGCCGAAGAACTTGAGGAGCGCTATAGTGAATTGAACAAGGAGAACATTAGTGCTCTTCATGAGATGATTCGGCCGTGCTTTTTGCGTCGGACCAAGGCCGAGGTTTTGCCCTTTCTGCCACCGATGGTGCAGATCATCCTACCTGTTTCGATGTCTGTCGTGCAGAAAAAGCTCTACAAATCAATCCTCGGGAAAAATCCCGAGCTGATCAAAATGATCTGCAAGAAGCAAACAGGCCAGTTAAAAAAGGCAGACCGGCACAATCTGAATAATATTCTCGTTCAGCTCAGAAAGTGTCTCTGCCATCCGTTCCTCTATAACAGAGACATCGAAGAGCAAACCCATGATCCACTCATGACTCATCGGCATTTGGTAGAGGCCTCTGGAAAGCTTCAATTGCTAAATCTGATGCTGCCAAAGCTGCGTGAGCGCGGAAACAGAGTTCTCATCTTCAGTCAGTTTCTGCAGAACTTGGACATCGTTGAAGACTTTCTCACTGGTCTTGACCTGAAATACTGCCGCCTGGATGGAAACTTGTCATCTCGGCAGAAGCAGCAACAGATCGATAGTTTCAACGCTGAAGATTCTTCTTATTTCGCCTTTCTCCTGTCTACTAGATCCGGCGGCGTGGGAATCAATCTTGCCACTGCAGACACTGTGATCATCATGGACCCAGACTTCAACCCTAAGCAAGACATGCAAGCTTTGTCTCGTGCTCATCGAATCGGTCAAAAGAACACCGTTCTTGTGTTTCATCTGACAACAAAAGCTTCTGTGGAAGAGAAAATCATGCAAAAGGGCAAAAAGAAGCTCGCGCTGGACCATGTGCTCATTGAGCGCATGGAGGCGGACGAAGACGAAGAGGATCTGGAGTCAATTCTCAGACATGGTGCTCAAGCACTTTTCGAGGATGATGATGCCGCCCATGTCCAGTACGACTCTGAATCAATCGATAAGATCCTGGATCGCAGTCAGGCTGAAAAGGCGGAGGATATTTCTGGCAGCACTCTCAATGGATCGTCTGGCCAGCCCCAATTCAGTTTCGCGCGCATATGGCAAAACGACCGAGGCACACTTGAAGAGGTGACCGAAACAGACGACACGCCTGTAGACGACACTGTTTGGGAACAGATCTTGCAGGAGCGTGAGCAGGATGCCATCGAAGAATCCTATCGAAAGGCGGAGGGCTTCGGTCGGGGCAAACGCAAGCGAAATACTGTGAACTACGAAACCAGAGAGGAAGAGGTCCATGACTTTGATGGGATTCAATCATCTCCCTTTAAAGCTTCCCAAAAGCAAGCTCTTGAAAGCGACACCGATTTTCAGCAGGAAGACAATGGCGAGGCATCCGATTCTCCAGATGAAGCAAATGACATGGAAATAGACAATATGGACATTGGTATGCCGCCTGTCAATGTGAAGACTCGTCCGTTCAAGCGAGTGCAGCTGCCACCGCCACCAACCTCGCTGTCCGTGAGCGGCGATGGGACCCAAGATATTACTCGCCATGCTTGCATTGTATGCAGTCAACACCATGCCCTTGGTCGCTGCCCGTTGAAGCTGGCTGGCATTGAGCATTGTCCCCTCTGTGGGCTGGCGCACTTTGGCAGAAACCGAAGTTGCCCCCATCTACGCAGCGAAATTCAAGTTAAACGCATGGTGGAGGCTTTGAAGGCGAGCAAAGAACCTCCCGGGTATGTCGCCATAGCCAAAAAATATCTCCAGGGTATTTTGGGGGACCTCGGTCAGCGCGCACGCAAGAAGGCTGCGAAGGAGGCAGAGCGAGAACTTAGCCGAAGCATGCTTCAGGCTCCAGCACCTTCGGCTCCAGCTCCAGCTCCGCAAACCACCCCGCATTCTATGCAGCAATATTCTTCTGCGATGACTTCGGCTCCCAATCCCGAGCCCCTCGGTCAACACGGTTCGGTTTCGTCAAACGAGTTCGCTCTTCAATACCAGCAGACGCATTCTCAGCAGCCCAGTCACTCTCAGCAATACTAACGGTTACTTTTTTCGAGCCTGGGTATTTGCTACATTCCACTGATTGATGTTTTGGATATGGCTCAATATTTGCGCGGCCAGCGGAGTCATGGGATCTTCACAATGAATGAAACTGCTTTCTCGAGTTTTTTTCGCCAGCTTTTGCGGCACATGCTATGCCATTTTGATTGCCTTTCCTTTCCATCTTGTTGATGATTTACGAACGATGATATACCCCAGATGCGTTAGATTAGAGTACAACTTGAATCGTCGCATGAAATGCCACCGAGAAGATTCCATACTTTCAGATTTTTGTAAACATTCTCAAGTACTAAGCTAGTATTACTATGTTTGTGTAGAGCCGTCGCTGCATAGGTACATGGGCACAAAAGTCCTGCGTCTGAAGGCGCACCAAAAATAGACCTCAACATCGAAATTTGGAAGGATTCCAGTGGTTCCGAGTCAACTTATCCCGGTGTGCCTCCTAAGCAATCATTTCCAGCCCCACAGAATTATATGTCGACCGACCCCTTCAAGTTTCAGCCGGGTTGCCCGTTCAGATCCCCCCGCAAGCTGGAATTGTTAGAATTCCGGAAATTTTGAGTATCAACGATCTTTCGCAAAAATAAACGCCAATGGTGAAAGCCGGGGTTCCTATTTATTCAGATCAGGCTTGTCTTGTGCAGTTCGGACTCCGATCATCATGGACATGCCATAGAGACAGTTTTCCTGGTCTGGAGCATGGCATTGGGCATGGCACCCTCGATCCTCCAATCCATCGCTTTCCCCGTATGGTGGTGTTTTCTCAACAAAATTGCCATGGCTTTTACCGGTCGCTGGGTGTTGTTCTGCCCGGGTCTTGTTCTTGGCGCACGAGTTAGGGTTTAGACAATGTCACTTGACCGCCCACCTCCCTGTTTATGCCAAGACGAAGTATGAACTTTAAATCCACGACTTGTTTCCCGTGGGATTGCCTTTAGCAAGCCCCCATGGAAGCAATGTTGTGCTTCAGCGTAGTTGACGGCAGTTGGAGTGATGTTTGATGACGTCCTTTTGTTCTGGTCGGGTTTGATACTGTGATATAGCGTTCTAATCAGGATCTCCGTAAATGCGATTGCAGTTGATAAACAAAGCGGTACTGTAAGCGATTGAAGAATTGTTAGCATAGCTCGTTCCATGATTCAGGTCTTCACCGGTCAAAAAGACTTGTGGTAAGAATTCCGTAGATTTCACAGCCAGTTTCCCCCCTATGGATCATGTCGGCAGGGTGTATGCAAGCATTGCATAGGCGATTCGGAATAGTTATAATATGCAGTGTTTTGGGCCAGAAATGATCATTTTTGGTGTGGTTGAATGGGACTGTTTGTCTGTGGCTGCACATAACACGTGGAGGGGGGATTTCAATCCCAACTGGATGTTTCCAGCAAGTACCCGGTGGTCATGAATCTGGCCAGGCACAAAATTAGACAAGGAATAATTCAAAGATAGACAACATAAAGGATACCTCTGAGAACTCCAATACCAGGCATCTTCTATTTCCATGACGGTGGATATGTATGCAGGTGGTCTTTGACTGGGGTTGTGTCTGTTGTCTGTTGTCTTTTGTCCCCCTTTGTCTTGAGACTGGCTAGACAACTACGGCGTGGCCTTGGGGAAGGAGCATTAAGCATTAAGCATTGCATTAGGCATCCGGGCACCACCCAAATGAGCAATTTCACGCACCATTTGCGCATTTGCACATTCACTGTTTCAAGCGGGGCCGATCTAGTAGTACCCCGGATGTAGGGTCCCTACGTCAGCTCTGGGGATCTTATATTATGGGACTAGTAGATTGTATGAGATAAGTGAATATAGAGCAGGAGGTGGCAATTAATGCGTGGAAGCAAAACGACCATAATTAGATAGAGTCGCCTTCATTCACTGTTCTCAGAGAGCAGGTTCGCTTCAGGTCCTACCGGCCACTGCCACTACTACTTCCCCTCCTTTCCCCCCTCAACTTCTCTCACTTCTCTCACTTCCTTTCTCTACCACCCACTCTCCCACCCCATTCCTCTCATCTTCAACATCTTTATCTCATCTTGAAGCATATTGCATCCATCCATACACTCCATCTTTATCTCTGCTACCGTTGCTTTCAGCCTTTCAGCCTCATCATTTTGACATCTCAGGTCAATCTTCCTCTATCTCTGACAGCCAATATGAGTGCACCACCTCCTTTGTTCTTTTGCTCCCGCCCAGATGGGACCCTGACTCCCTTGATGCCACTTGACGAGATGCCACTCGGTATGGTATTCCGTGGTGTCTCACGCGTCATCAGCCCAAGCGAGACTCAGGGCATGACCAGCTGTGGTGTTGCTCCCAAGCGTGCAGAATGCTGGGCCATCGAAAGTCTCGGCCAGGACCAGCCGGTCAAGGACCCAGAGATCAACCAGAAGATTCGCAAGATGCTCGTCGATGTCCTCAAACTCGAAAACATTCCTGCAACTCTTCGCCAGGATGTCTCAGCCCTGATCACCAAGGGCATTGAGACCCTGGATGTCACTACTCCCGCTGCGAAGTCGATGGCTGTAGTCCCGGCTCCTCTCATCCAAGCATACCTTAGCACTGGAGTTGTCAACCACCAAAAGCCACAGGTGAGTACCCTCCGTTCATCCTGACACCGTCATAGTCTGACTGATCCTCTTTTAGGGCTCGAAGAAGAAGGAGTTTTGCTCCTACTGGATCCGTCACGGAGAATGTGACTACCAGCAGCAGGGTAAGTTCCCCTGGTCTAACTTTCAAGAAATTTGTTCTGACTTTTCCCCCTGGAAGGCTGCCTGTTTCGACATGCCATGCCGACCGAGCCTGAAGCGCTGGAGAAGCTGGGCCTTCGTGACATCCCACGTTGGTACCGTGAAAAGTACGGCTTGTCGAGTGTTCTTCAGCAAGGAGGGCCCCGACTCCAGCATCCATTTATCACCATGGATGCCCTGCCTGCTACCCAGAAGGCGATCCAGTACGCCGATAACTCGGAGGGCACGCAGTCGACCCACGCTGCCTTGAACCACCATGGCCATCCACACCACACCCAGAGCCCCAGCTATCAGTACCCCCGCGGGGGCCAGCTGGGCAGGGGCTCAAAGCCCCTCCGTGGTGGCTATAGTGGCAGTGGCATGCAGGGAAGAGGTCGTGGCGGTCACCCAAATGGTCTCTATTACAAGAACGGCCAAAGTACTTGGAACCCTCAGGCCACTCCCCATTCTCCCACCCAGCCAGCAATTGGCAGTTTCCGCGTCGGCAATGCTCCCACGGCCCCGAGATCTCGACCCGAGTCCACCTTCGCCCAGGTTGCTGCCCGTGCCGGTGGCCTGGCCACCCCGGAGACTTCTCCCAGCGCGGGCTCCAGCAAGTGTACCAACAACTCCAGCGGTTCCACTGCAAATATTTCTCAATCGGATCATGGCGTTGGCAATCGGTCTCAAATCCACAAGGTCATTCATGAGAGCATCATGAACCCCGAGGAACCTGTTGGATCCCTTGCTCATGGTATGGGTCAGCTCGACTGCTTCGGGCTTCCTCCGGTAACCAAGACCGAGGAAGACTTCCGCAGAGGCCACCGCCGCCTCTTTGCCCCGGGCTATGGTAACGATGGTGCTGATTCCTGGTGTGACATCGTCGACGATTTCGTCGACGTCTTTGAGGATCCCGCTTTCGCGGAAATTGAGGCCATTAAGCAGCTGGTTTCCCCTGATGCTGCCAGACCAGAATCAAGCCTCCTCAGTACTCTCGTTGCTGAGAGCGAGCCGCTCGAGAACAAGCAGGCTCTGGCCAACTGGGGACCCATCGGGGTCAAGGCTAAGCAACCCGAGTCCAGCAAGACTTCCGCCCCTCCCGCTGCCAACATGGCAGAGATCTCCAAGCTGAAGGAGACCCTCGGCGAGACCGAGGAGCACCTGGCCTGAGCGAGAGCTCAGCCATCGACATGGCTCGGCTGAGCTACCGCATGTCGAGTGCCTCCTCCCTCAGTGGTGACAATGCCGCAGCTGCTTCGTGGTTCGACTTGGCCTACAAGGCCCACGCCAAAGCCGCCTTTGCCTGGAGGCGCAAGGTGAATGCCGAGTTTGGCTCATACTCTCCAAATGGACCAGATGTCTACACGACCTGGCGGAGAAAGCGTGGAATCGAGGACTACGCGTACGTTACGGGTAGCCGCACTAAGGATCTCGCTTGCGGCTTCCGCGTTCCTTTCCCAGCCCCCCCGTGAGTGTGCCCGACGCGATTCGTGGCTTCGTCTCCAGAAGAGACTGATGCGCGAATCTGCGCATCATTAGACTGGAGCATCGCGCTCCCGCAAGTTCAATGGCGCGGCAATCCATCGATATCAACATACCAGCTAATTCAGCCATGTCGCCATAACTTGCTTTCATTTCAGCCCATACATTGTATGCATTCCAATATGTCCAAATGTTCTTTTCGTTTGCTTCAAGGTTTGATGATCTACTTGTTTCCATTTGATCAGTCCTGTGAGCCACGACAACAAGTTCATCAGGTTGCTTGTGCATACTCTCATACATCTTCCTGGGAATATATTGGGTAACAACGACGATTCGCTACTGTCGGCTTTCACCCGTGGAAGTCTTGACTCGACCAGATTGAGTCATTTATGAGGCTGAAAATACCGTGGAAATCACGCCTTCTGGCAGTTCCTTTGCTTTCATTCTTGATGCTTGCATCTGGAATCCCTTCCCTTTTGTTCCGTTTATTATTTTTTTCATTCCCCGGGTGCATTTTTCTATTTCATTTCTTTAACCAACAAAACCTCCAAAAAAAATTCGAGACCCCCTCCACTGCCAACTCCCATTCGGGCCAATGGGATTTCTGTTTGTGTCGGCTGGGGATTCCTCTGTTCGTAGCATTTGTCCGTTCCGAGCCTGCATCTTCCGGGCATTCTGGACGAGACCCATCCTTGTCTCTCAATGAATAAATTGACATTTAACCCAGCTCGTTCCTAGCTGCATCAAAAAGTTAGTAGATGTCGGATGACAAACATGAAAAGTAACAGAAGCTCAATGGTACGCATATCTAAACGGTAAGGTTCAAGCATAGGCAATTGGGAGAATCCATGAATATAGCGAGACGCCAATAAATTGAAAATATGACTATAGTACATCGAGAATAAATGAAGTCAGTTAGACCTCCTGAAATATGCGCCCGCGCCTCGCAAATGTCTGACCACAAGTTTTGTCCAACATGAAAGAGAAAGAGATCATGCAAAGCTTATACACTGCTCAGACACGCTCCTCATCGCCGAGGCTGCTTCTTCGAACCCCGAGCCCCGACCTTAACAGCAACACGCTCCCGCTCCTCGGTTGCCTGGGCCTTGAGGGCCGGGTTCAGCGAGGGGAGAGACTGGATAGCCTGCGCGACAATCGAGTTGCCGTCGACAGCCTCCCGCTCCTTCGCGGAACTAATTCGTTCCGCACGACGAGCAGCCAGCTGCTGCCGGCGTGCCTCGGTCATGTTCCAAGAATCCGGGAAGCGAGGACGAATCTTGGGCTTGTGGTGACGGAGGTCCAGAGGGACGTCAGCGAAAGCGTCACCTTGCTTGGCTTCCTTAATAAGAGTGTTCACGAGATCGGCCAAGTAGCGTTTGTTCTGGGCACTGGAGCCAAATTGTTCGCAAGAAATCCGGACAATGTCGGTTTGCGGGTTGTAGCGGGTGCCAGCCAACTTGAGGAAAGTCTGGCGCTGGGCTTCGGTGAGGTGTTTCGGAGTCAAATCCTGGGAGGCGAGCTCAACGACAACCTTGGGCTCAGCAGGGTGCTGTTCACCCATGTAGGAGGTATAACGGAAACGGAGGATTTGGTTTTCGGCGGGCAGGTTAAAGGGTTTGGCGAGCTCTGCGGGGAGAGGAAACGGTCAGCCAATTACACGGGGAGATGAAAATCAAGGGTTCAACCTACTGCTCAGCATTGGCATATCCCAAGCCGTGATACGGGCATACTCGCGCAGCTCGCGTTGCAATTCCATTTGGGCATGTGCCGTCGAGGTGATCTCGTCATCGTTGATTTCTTCGTCACCGTCTTCAACCAAGGCCAATTCATCGCTCTCATCTTCGGCCCAGAATCCGCGGGACTTGTCGCGAACATCCTCGAAACGGAGGTCGTGTTCCTTCTCAATTTGGTTGACGCTTTTCTCGAGCTCTGCGAATGCGGCAGCGCGCTTGTCAAGATCGTTGAAGTCGGCCACGGCGCGGCGGTTCTCGGCGTCGAATTCGGCACGCTCTTCCGGAGACATCATATCGTACATTGAGCGCTCCTCCTTGCTCAGAAGGTCGGGCGAGTATTCAGGGACGGGCGGATAATCCTCCGCACGTAATTCCTTGGGGGGAGGAGGCATCACCGGATCTTCTTGGACGAAGCGGAATGGCGAGGTCGAAAATGAGCGTGTAGAAATAATCCCAGGGCCTCTGTAGGCCAAGGACCTCACAGAGCGAGTCAATGCCCGAGCGGTGCAGGCCATTGTAATGGAGCAATTGGAGGGACAAGGCGTATCGTAACTTTTCGAAGCCGCAACGAAGAACGAAGAGCACCGGCAGTACTGTTTTCTCCGCGGTCAACGCTAGTCCTGATGGGGGAGGATCCAAGGCACGTGATCCCAAAAGCCATCATTGGCAAGTCCAGCGACGACGACTTCCAAACCTGGTTCAATCAAGGGCTTGGATCACTAACAATTTACAAATACAAGGATGATCCCCAATCCTTTGCTACAATGGAAATGATATCAACAAAACTTTGCCTCGTCACAGTTGGGGCTACCGCTTCGTTTGAAAGACTGATCCGCCAAGTCCTCAATGAGGCTTTCCTCGCTCAATTGGCCAAATATCATTACACCCATCTTCTTGTTCAATACGGGAAAAATGGGGAGAAAATCTGGAATGAATTTAATGAGAAATTCCCGCCTGGATGCGAGCAGCTTCAAGGCGTTACTGTTGGGGGCTTTGATTTTAAACCCGACCTATGGCGGTATATGCGTATGGCCGTGAAAGAGCAGAATCAAGATCTCGGCATCATCATTTCTCATGCCGGTATGACCTGGAATATCTTTTTTTTAATCTATCAAATTAACCCATGTCTCAGGCACTGGAACCATTCTGGATGCGCTTCGCTTAGCCTTACCTTTGATCATTGTGCCCAACCCCGATCTTGCGGACAACCATCAAGAGGATCTGGCTGTGGAAATGGAGCAGATGAAATACGCCGTTCGTGCTGATATTGAGTGAGTTTCCCTCCTAAGCATGTCTCCCCCAATGGGCTCCAAGGGTATTGACCCGTGTCTAGGGACTTGATTGCGGCACTCGACACGGCAGAAGCTCAGGCTCCGGAACAGCTGAGTCGACCTCATGGCCCGGAGGATGCTCTGGCTGGTCTGGTTTCCGATCAGCTCCAGGATGTGGATTGAATGCTGCCGCACATCCTGTCCTTTACGACGAGACGACTTGATGATATAGGTTGTGATATCGCGGTCTACGGTGTTCTCCCCCTCTTCGGATGTCACGCTAATCGAAACTCATGAACACAAATATGCTATGAAAGAAATAGTGAAACATCAAAGATGTTAATTGTTTTATTGTCGAAGAAGTAGACTAGTTCCTCTTAGTTGTGGTGGTTCCAATACCTCCCAGGCCCCTTCTACTAGATCATTCTGCCAGATAGATTTCCAAAATACTTCCACCTTTTAGCCTGACAATTATCACAGAATTTTAATGATCAGTTTCCATCTGTTTCAAAAGTCTATCTGTGAAGTCCATCTGCTCAAACCGAGTGGAACCAGCGCAGACCGTCATTGGCCCGAGCTTCTTGTTGACAACTCCCGACGCGATTCCGCAAAACCCTCCTGGAGCCTCCTGACAACCTCAGCGAGGTGATTGTGATCGCCATTATTCAAGTCAACGCATGCTCCCTTTCCTCCAAAATCCCCTTTGAACTTTCGAGCCGCCAGCCCTCGGCCGTGGGGCCATCTTGAACACTTGCGACCCCGATCACCCCCCGACCTCCCCCCTTCATACGCACTCCCACTCCCCGCAATGGCTGAGGCTACCCTTCACAACGTACCAATTGTCATTGACAATGGAAGCGGAACTATCCGAGCAGGCTTCGCAGGAGAGGAAATTCCATCATGTTATTTCCCCTCGTTCGTCGGCCGTCCCAAGCACCCGCGGGTCATGGCTGGTGGTTTGGAAGGCGACTCTTTCATCGGCACACGCGCACAGGACCTTCGCGGGCTTTTGAAGATTCGGTATCCGCTAGAGCATGGCATTGTCACAAATTGGGAAGATATGGAATCGATTTGGCATTACGTCTATGAAAACGAGCTCAAGACTCTGCCCGAAGAGCACCCCGTCCTGCTCACCGAACCTCCGCTGAACCCCCGTGCCAATCGTGATTTCGCTGCCCAGCTCATGTTCGAGACCTTCAATGTCCCTGCTCTCTATATGTCCATTCAGGCCGTGTTGTCACTCTATGCATCGGGTCGTACTACTGGTGTGGTGCTGGATTCTGGCGATGGCGTTTCCCACGCCGTGCCCGTCTACGAGGGTTTCGCCATCCCCAACAGCATTCGCCGAATCGATGTTGCTGGTCGTGACGTGACGGAACAAATGCAGCTACTTTTGCGCAAGGCTGGGCACGTACTGCACACAAGCGCCGAGAAGGAGGTGGTGCGCATGATTAAGGAGAAGGTCTGCTATGTGTCGCTGGATCCTAAGCGCGAGGAGAAGGAGTGGATGAACAGCTACCACAAGTCAGATGCCAAGGCTGTTGATTACGCCCTTCCCGACGGTCGCAAGATCAAGGTGAGTTCATGATCTCAATTTGATTACTCCCGTACGCAAGCCCTGTTCCATGCTAACATAACCATTCTCTCCCCTCCCAGATTGGTCAAGAACGCTACCGCGCACCCGAGATTCTCTTCGACCCAGAATTAATCGGCCTTGAGTACCCTGGAGTGCATCAGATTGTCCAAGAGTCGATCACCCGCACAGATCTCGATTTGCGCAAGGCTTTATACCACAACATTGTGCTCTCTGGTGGCTCCACTCTGTGCAAGAACTTCCCGGATCGTTTGATGCGGGAAATCAAGCGACTCGCAGTTGAGGATATGAAGATTCGTATCTCTGCACCTGCGGAGCGCAAGTATACCACGTGGATCGGAGGAAGTATTCTTGCTGGTCTGAGTACCTTCCGAAAGGTATGTGAACTGAAAACTTCATTGATAAACTCATGCTTATTCGTTCTTCTAGATGTGGGTAAGCGCGGACGAGTGGCACGAGGATCCGGAAATCATCTTCAAGCGATTCGCTTAGAACAGGTTCAATCAATTGATGGAGCGCTACATAAATTCGTCGTTCTCCCCAGAAAAGACGACTCAGCTTCTCATACAAATCCCCAGCTCGAAATCCTCAAATCTCTCCGACACCCTCTGAGAAAGGGCGAAGGCACCATTTCCCAAAGAACGATCTGCTGTGCAAGTCATTGTCTTTCCAGGGCAAGCAGTACACAGCACAGACGTGGGGGACCCTGCAATCCTGCGACTTTTGATACCCCCCTCCCACCATGTACCCCAATCTCCTCAGTGCATATCTTGTGATATCATGCATTATTATTATTATCTACATTTGTGCAAATACAATTTCCCTCTACAGTTACCCGTGGTACTTGTCTTGTGGGATTTGCGTGGTTCCAGATTTGTGTACTATGCATACCGATCCCAGTATTTACTTGTAATATTCATTACATGACTATCACTTCCCCCGTCACTTAATTAAGACCAGCCATCTTCCAAAGGTCAAGACTTCAAGTTCACGATTGGTTCTAGTATAGCTATCCAATAGTGTTATCACGGAGAGGTCCAAGCACGCAATCCTCAATCATCTGGCGTGCGGAGAAGCCTGCCAAGACATGCCGCTTCTCTCAAAAACTACTGCACCATCGTTGCTTGCAATAACCACAGAATATATCCATGTCAGATTTCTACCACCGACCCGACCGGGCAAGAGCTGTTTGTCTACACTGCCATGCGCGAAAGGTTGACACCGGATTTGACTCCATTCCAACAACGTATTGACTAAACGGGTTCAGGTTCGATGTGATCTAGAAGACCAGCCAGGTGGGGTCTGTAGTAACTGCAGGAAACGCCGCCAATCATGTCAGTAAGTTAAACTTATCAGTCGGTTCAGGCAAAACTTCAAGTTCCGTGACCACTAACCATGTCTACAGACGCCGAGGTCGCAGGCCATATCCGGCCAGGGCAAATGGCTCGAGACAACTCATTGTACCGAGGCAGCCTGATACAAATACAAAAATCGACGAAACTGGCTTGATGTGCTCTCCCGTCTCATCTAGTCACGACTCAAAGGATACTCCGCGGACCAGAATAGCGTCAAGGGAGCCGCCTGCCTTTGTCAGTGAGCTGTCATTCATGGCCCCTTTGGCGACTCAGCAAGACTATATTATTCCAGAGTCAGTCATTGCAGCTCAGGACCAATTCTCCAAAAAGCTCATTCAGGCCGTGTCCGCTACAACACTACCGCCTAAAGCTCAAGTAGAAGCATTCGCGGATTCATATTTCGATCGTTTCTACCACCGCGCACCGTTGATAGATCGCGCAGACTTATCAACGGAGGACCCGTCAGTTCTTGTGTCACAGGCTATTTGCATGGTAGGATCCCTTCTTCGACACTCTGGACCGGACTCACCTCTTGGAGATGCCGAGCACTACTACGGCAAAGTGAAAACACTCCTCTATACCAACTACGAGCCAGACCAACGCAATGTACTCAAGGCTCTTTGTCTCTTGAGCTTCAGAAATCTCACACCACCAAAGGTTGTAAGCCTTGACTGCTCATGGCAATGGCTGGGTATGGCAACTCGACTCGCCTATCAAATGGGTCTTCATCGTGAATCAACGTATGCGCAGCTCCCAAATCCAGGAAATGCCCGTCGGATTATGTGGTCTCTATTCGTAAGGTCAATCCAAGATTCCCAAGCGTCACCCATTAAGTACATAAACAGGTCTCGGATCGGCATCAGACAGCGTGCTTCGGACGGCCGTCTATCATCAGAGCTTCAGAGTTCGACATACGGCTGCCAACAATAGATGACTTTGAGCAGCAGGATACCAAAGCGGAATTGTTTATTCAACATGCCAACCTCAGCATTATTCTAGGTGGTATTGTGGACCGCCATGCTCAAAAGAGTGAAATGACACAGAACGAGGTAAGAAAAGCGACCCAATACTCTTGCATTTTCTTACGTGTTGCGGGACAGGCGATTTCCATCCTCGAATCTCTCCAGCAATTCATCAACAATATACCAAGCCAACTTCAACTGTACGAGGGGTCCAATCGACGTCCCTTCCGGCCAGATATTTATGAGTTTCATGCCAACTACTTCGTTTGCCTGATTGTCTTCTTCCGGCTTTTCGGTCATGCCTTCCCGGCTCTCACAGTCTCAGCGGCGTCTCTAGTTGCTTCCTCTTGCATCGCCCGTCTCTACGAACAATTTTTATATCGTGATGAAATGAACTACTTGACCCCGCTACATAACTGGTTTGTCATGGTCGGTTGTGCCCCGCAGATCCATCATAATGCGACTTGCCAAGGTCGAGATAAACTCTGCAATGAAGAGTTGCCGATTTTGACAAATGCTCTGCGATACATGCGATTGAAGTCACCCCCAGCAGGCGTTCTATTGGATATCATAGAACGCCTGAGCGAAGTTAACTCCAATGGATTGACACCCAGTGTTTCCTCTGTCCCGCAGGAAGGTTCGCCTACAGAGGAGCCGTGGCTGGCCCAGCTACCCCATGCCGTTCTTTTAAACTCCCTTTTCCCATTCCCCGGCTCCTTGAGTCCAAGACTATCTATAATACAGGGAATCAATGACGAATTAAATGACTTGGCGGTTCTTGACAGGATGGTGGAACAGGAAGACGATGATCTCGAATGGATTTTCAACGAATACCAACTTAATTATTTCGATGCATCGTTTGTTTGAATACGAATAGCACGTTCAAAAATTAAGCAGGTTGCTTTTTATCTAGCCTCTAAAAGTGAGACTCGAGTGCATAGTCGTACTACTAGTATGCTCCTGGGTCAGCAACTGCTAAACCTATCGCAATTGCGATTATAATGATAGCCAGTGTTGCAATTCCCATGGGGTGTCAAAGCTTAGTTCTGCGCAATTAATAGTATTATCCCAACAAATTTCAGGCTAATTAGGTTCGAGAGTCAACATTAGGTTCAGCTTCAAAGCCGAGGGCAAGTTAGCACCGCTGTGCCCTTCCAGTAGGTAAATAAGGTCCGACATCAGTGGAAGCAGACCTTCGGCGGTGCATGTATACTCACGTCACGGGACAGCGAGCACGTACCACGGGAGCTTTTGCCTTTCGGGGCTGAAGTA